CAAGAAGCAGAGGCTGCTGGCTTTGTTCCTCAGTCTCTCTGTGCCCTCTCTCCCTGTGCCACCGCTATCCCCTCACCAACCTCCTTCTCCTTTCTCTCCAAGTGTCTTTTGCCCCTTCTCACTGTTCATCCCTCAAGCCCTCTGTCTGATGGGCCGTGAAGCAGAAGTCAATGTGTGGGTGCCTGCGTTTGCGTTTATTTTTGAAGTTACTGTAGTTACCAGCCAGTTGGAGATTTTCATTCCCTTTTTTAAGTCATAGAAATCCCTGAGTTTGGCATTTTATGCTTTTTTCTTATATCCCCAGCCTGTTCTATGCTCTTTATGGTTGTGTAGTCCTTGATCAGTTTTACTTCCCTCTCAGAGGCTGGAGGACGCCTTGGAAGTCTTCCACTTGGGCTTCATTTATCCTGTGGCCAGTGGCTGGTGAATTAGGAGCCCAGAGGGTGGGGATGCTCGTGGAAAAGAGTCCTGGATCTCATGGGTTTGAACCGTTCTCGTTTTCACTGGTAGGCTTTCTGAACAGTCCTGCCTGGAGTAGAGGGACACGTAACACGATGGGGTCAGGAGAAAACTGCTGTGTGGGGAGAAACGGTTGAATGGAAAATTAGTTTTTCTTCCCAGTAATTGTTTTGACATGAGCAGTAATTAGCCAGCAGCTGACAGGCTAGAACTGAAGGAAGAACAAGGGGCCGGATTAAAGGCAGAGTGCCTGGGCATCCGCTGGCTCCTGGCAGGGCAGGGAGCCAAGGGAGCCAGATGAGCCCGGGGATCCAGGGCTAGGTGACAGGATGCAGCTTATAGAACGTGCCTGGTGGTTGCTGGGAAGGGAGTGAGTGGGGATCGGAAGGGCAGCCTCTGCCCTCAAAAAGCTAGGGAACAACCTGGGCTTATAGGAACCCGCTGATGTCAAAGATAGTGGCGTCGCTACCTACTCAGAGAAAATGTTTGGTTTATCCCCAGACTGAGCTATGGTATGTCTCCGTGCTATAAAGTGTGTGTGCAGGCTGAGAGACCTGCCGTATGTTTCTTGGTCTGGGATAATAGCTTATGGCTGGCCATTTCCTTAGAGCTTCAGCACGTTTAGCTCTTAAAACCATCTAGGCCTGGTGCCTTCTAGTAGACATGCACTTTTCAAATGTCTTCTCCTCTCCCCTCCCCTATCCCTGCCCCTCCTCTTCTTCCCCAGTATCTTCCGATTTTCCTCTCTCCTTCCTCCTTCCCCTTCCCCTTCTACTCCTTCCCCTCCCATTGCAAGTGTTCTTGAAGTAATTTTGATAATTTGAATCTTATGGAAGGGTTGGATTTGATTCATCTACGATTAGAAATCATTTTTTTTTGTGTGTTTTTTGTTTTTGTTTTTGTTTTGACAGGGTTTCTCTGTAGTTTTGAAGCCTGTCCTGGAACTAGCTCTTGTAGACCAGGCTGGCTTCGAACTCACAGAGATCCGCCTGCCTCTGTCACCACCACCCGGCCTAAATCATGTGCTTTTACATTTAAAAAAATAGTTTAAAAAAAGAAAGAAAGAAAGAGAAAAAAGAAAAAGAAAAACTCTTGCCTGTATTTGTTGTGCTTAAGTATTTGAATTCCTAATTTTAAGCATTTGTGGTTACCCTCAAATTAAGCTACTTCATCTCCTTTTCTTATTGTTATGATTCCTACCAGACCCTAAACGCACACACGCTCATGTCTATACATGCAATGACACACACATGGAAGGAGGGGAGAAGGAGAGAGAGCACCAGCTCTAGGTTGCCAGTGTCATTCTTCCCTATTAGCATTAACTTCCCTCGCTGGGCCTGCCTCCTGTTTTCCTTGCTTTGTTTTGGAGGTCATTTAATTTTTTTTTTTGATTCCACTTAATTTTGTTGCTTTGGGCTCAGTAATAGAATAATTAAGGCTATGAATTCTCCTAAAACTATAATGCAGGCTTTATCCATTCATTTAAACCCATTCTTCCTCACTCTTTTCTAAACAATGTGTAATTATGTTCTTAAGTTCTCTTTTAGGCTGACAGTCCTTAAGAGGACATTTTCTTAAGTTTCCAACTATTTGGAAGTTCAGTGGTTGGAAGCCCTGTGTGTTTATTTTTCATTATTAATATCTACATTTATTGTGTCCTGGTCAAAGAATGTGGCCTGAATTATTCATGCCCTCTGCCGTGCACTGGCAGTTTATTTGTGGCTTAAGCGTGGTTAACTTTTCAAAGGTCCCACGGCTTTCTTGGCAAATGCTGTCCTCTTTGTTTATAGGGTAGGATGTTTTATACATGTCCCTCACTCAGTCCTTTAAATTAAATTGCTCAGATCTCATTTGTCTTTATGCCTGCCTATTAATCAGTCTCAGAGCCCAAGCGTGTGCCAAGGCTTCCACCTCCATCTTACACTTCCAGGCCTTTCTTTTTGAGGCATGGTGTTCCCTATGCAGGTTGTTCACCTGCTTCAACCCTCCCAGCACACACACGCACACATGTGCACACATACACACACAAGCACGTGTATACACACTCGTATGTGTGTGCCGGGATTGCAGGTGTGGCTCACCATGCCCTGTTCTAGCATCTGCATTCTCTCCATTTCGACACTGTCCTATTTGATAAGCAAACGTTTTCCGGGTGTCCCACTTTGGCAACATGGTGCCCTACTATGGCTGATTTCCTGACAGAGCCTCTTGCCCATCTGAGCTGGTTCCCTCGGTCTTTGATGCTTGTAGAGTCCCAGACTCTCCTCTCTGGCTGCTTTTTTTACTGAGTTAATATGATGAACATCTGGCCAAACATCTGAGAGCTGAGTGAGGACCATGGCTATGGAGCTGGCCAAGCAGAATTATTGTACTTTCTTCTCCAAGTGCTGGATGGAACCCTGATATGTATCAGTTTCTCGTGTGTGTGTGTGTGTGTGTGTGTGTGTGTGTGTGTGTGTGAACATGCCTGCCCAGACTTCTTCAGGAGTCTAGAACTGACCTTACAAGTTGGGGAGAGGCAAAGCTACACAGGGGCTATTGAGCATTGCCCTGCTTGCAAATGACTCTGGATTGTTTGCTACCAGCAATAGAAGATGGGCTGCATCCCCAGCGCAAAATGTTTCTACCTAGAACTGTCTTTGCCAACTCACTGCCATGGTTTGGTTCAACCCTGGCCACCCTCCATTCCAGACTTGGTGTCCCTTAGCTAAAATGCTTTCAGATCAGACATGCTTCCTAGTTGGGAATATCCACATATACATTATGATCCACCTGGGGGATGGGATCCAAGTATAAATAGAAAACTCATAGATAATTTTACACAATATTTTAAACCTTGTTTCATGGCATAAAATTTTCCGCTCATGATGTCATCTTAAAACTCTGAAACTTTCTATATAGCCCTGGCTGGTCTAGAATTCACTATGTAGAATAGGCTAACCTTGAACTCACAGAGATCCCCCTACCTCTGCTTCCCAGGCTCTGGGGTTAAAGGTGTATGCTATCATGCCTGGCCTTTTTTTTTTTTATTTTGAGACATCATCTCATTAAGTTGCTCGGGTTGGTCCAGAACTCACTCCCACCTTGAACTCCTGCACTCTGGAATGGCAGGTGTGAGCCATCAGGCCCTGTTGCTTTTGTTTTAGGAAAATTGAGGCTCAATAATTCATGTTGTTGATTGTCATTTATTAATTAGAAGAGCCAAATTTCACGACAACTAGTCCATCCCATCCTCTTTCCATTACCCAGGTTGAACATCCTATCCCCCAAATCCCAAATCTAAATTTTTTGAACATTAATATACTTTCGAGCTTTGGATGTGAGAGCATGTATTAGTAATTTTCTCATGGCTGTGACAAAACCACGTGGCAAAGCAACCTAAGGGGCTGGGAGACAGCTTACTGGGGAACGTGTTTGCTGTACCAGCGTGAGGAACTGAGTTTCAGCCCCAGAATCCACATTTAAAAAAGCCAATAAGGCCATGTGTGTCTGTAACCCCATCACTGGGGAGGCAGAGGCAAACAGATCTCCAGAGCTTGATGGTCATCAGTCTAACCCAACTGATGAGCCCCTGGTCCTGATGAGAGACCCTGTCCCTAAATAACAAGGATCCTGAAAAGCAACATCAGAGGTTGACCTGGGAAACACAACAAAACACACACGTACACACACACACAGCCCGCACCGAGAGTGCATACTTGAGTGTGTGCACACATACACACACATACAAATGAGAAAGGAAGGGTTTATTTTGTTTCATTATTTGGCAGGATGCAGTCCCTCATAACTGGGAAGGCATGGCGAGGGAGTATGCTGCAGCCGGTCACATTACATCTGGAGAGAGAGGGGGAGTTGGGGGTAGAAAGCCAGTCTGCTCCCCAGACTTTTCAGGACCCCTGGCCTGACTTTTAGTCAATCTAAGCACACTTAGACTTCATTTTCTTCAGTTAAACCTCCCCAGAAGCAGCCTCCAGTGATGGTCAAAGCTGTGCGTCCCTGTAACTCTAAATCCAGTCAAGCTGAGGGCCTTTCAGAGTTTGGTTCTTTGGATGGTTGCTACACACCTAGTGTAACATTTCCAAGTCCTGGAAGGTCCAAACTCTGAATTAGCATTTTTGATAAAGAATATTCATCCATACGTACGTGACAGCATTCAGAGACTGAGGGTAGAAAAGTCCCCCAGGAAGAAAGAGAAGGAAGAGAACTCATAGGGCTCTGGTGGGGGAGCCACCTGATTCAGGAGGAAGAGACAGGCCCCCTCATCAGCACCTGTGGTGGCAGCTGGGCTCTGATGACCTTGGCTTCTACTGATTGGGCTCCTTAGAAGAAAGTCCGTCCCCTGAGAGTTCAGGACACTGGCTGCCAGGATTCCACTCTTTTTTAGCCCTTAGCTGCAGATCAGATTCCAATAGATGGGCCCTGACACATGAGAACTCCACAACCCTGGGAGGAGGTGGGAGAGCGAGGGCTGCTGTGGCCGGAAGTCCAGGGTGCCTGTCTGTGGCCCCCGCAGCATCTGAGCTGTGTCTCTGTCCCCACAGTGAATGGATACCACGCATCAGGGACCCCGGCGCACCCTCCAGAGACTGCCCACATGAGTCTCCGAAAATCCACCGGTGATTCCCAGGTAAGGTGCTGCCAAGGGAGGTAGGGGCAGCTGAGTGTCTAGCTCAGGAAGGATGTAGTTGGGAGTCAGGGACTGTAGCCCTCTTCTGCTGTCAGTGGAAAGTAGCCCAGGGTTGCCCTAACAGTTTTGGATGAAGGATGGGTTGCAGAATTGCAGTTCATTGGTTTTCTAGAAATTGAGGGAGATTTGGAAGAGGAGCTAATGGATTATAATTGTCAAATCAGGGAGATCCACTCTGCTACCCACAAATTCAATGAGTCCAGATTTCCTGTCAAGTTAGCAGTGTGAGCCAGCCGGGCCATTGTCCTTGTAGTCCTCTGCTGTCTACAGAAAAATGCGACCATCATTTGCAACATGGCGTAAGCATAGCTGTAGGAGGCAAAGAATAATGTGTGCTTTTACTTTTGAGTCAGGGTCTTATGTAGCTCTAGCTTTTGATCCTCCTGCCTGCAGCTCCCAAGTGCTGGCACTGCAGGCATGCACACCATACCCAGCTGAAATATGTTTTAAGATTCCCAAACTGCTGTCTCCATCAGAACCGGCACGTGTGACATCATGAGATGGGAATCATTAGTACTCCTATGAGCCTGGGACCACAGGGGAGCAAGCTCATGAGATTGAGTGGAGGGTCATAGTGGACCCAATAGAATATCCTATGATTTCCTTATTTGCAGGAAGCTGCATCTAAGCAGGGGCGTGGGGGGGTGGAGGTGGGGGTGGAGGTAGTCTCCTTACAAATTAAGAGATTCCTAAGGAAACTTCCAATCCCTGCCATACTTTCTCGGGAATCAGTGCGGCAGCCCTTAGGGGTGATGGTATTGATGGCTGATGGCCACAGTAGTAATCCTGCTGAGAAAAGTAGCTGTGTAGGCTGTGGCCTCCGTGTGGTCACTGAGGGAAAGACCCTGAACTCTGTGAGTGCCCTCAGCTAAGCTGTGACCGCCAACTTCAGTGCAGCCAAGGGTGTTGCGTTTGGAACTTTAGTAAGCTGTCCTCTCGGAGCCGAACATTGACTGAGCCCTGGATCAGTAAACTGTGGTAGAGAACTCAAGGCCCAGTCTTAGGCAGGCCTTTCAAGTCTCTTGACTCTTGTGTACGATCTGAGGTGAGCAGGGTGTGCATTCCAAGACGCCAGTAGAGGTGCTGCTACTGGAGACCATGTCTGGCTAGTGGGGATTGAGGTTTAGTTAACAGTGCACAGGGCTGAGCCTGATATCATCAAATCCCTGCTCACTTCACTTGTCATGAATCAACCCTGACGTGTGCGTCCTGTTGAGCCACGCTCTTCATGAGCCAATGAGTGTGTTGGAAGGGAAGATGACTTGTCATCTGACTTGAGAGTATTTCTGAAGACATGAGCCTGCCCTGCTGCAGCTAACCATGATTAAACCATGTTGCTCCCCCAGCACCATCAGGAAGGAAACTGGAAACAGCTCCCCATTCTTCCTTCCCCAAGGAGATGTGACTCCCCGTACTGGGAAACTCAACCATTTAGTACATGCTTGCTTCTGGGGCAGCTTAGGATCTGGAAGCTGATTTAACAGTGTGCTGTAGGCCTTGGACAGAGGAATTTCTCCTCCTGTATCTGTTCTTGGAATGTACTCAGAGATTTATATGTATTCTGATTTCTATGGAAGGCCATTCATACAAGTATTATTTATACCCCTGGAACACTGGACCCAATCTAACTGTCCAATGGTAGGGGACAGGTAGAATGGCCTCCAGTGCTGGACATTAGCCCATCAGTGACATTACACAGTCAATAAAGAGCATCCCCCTGAAGAAAATGTAATGACTGAGAAAGGCTTCCAACTTGAATCAAGTGGAAGGGACTGGAGAGATGGCCTGGTGACCAAGTGTACTGTTCTTCCTGAGGGCCTGGGTTCAAGTCCAAGCACCCATGACAGGCAGCTCTCCACAGTCTGTAACTCTAGCAGCTGGAGTTACTAGAGTCTAGCTCCAAGGGATGGCACCCTCTTCTCGCCTCCAGGAGAACCTGTACTCATGTATGCATGTGTGTGCACATATGTGCGTGTGCATGTATGCAAATGTGTGTGCACATGTATGTGGGCATATGTGTAAATGTATACGTATGTGCGCAAATGTGTGCATGCATTGTGTGCGTGTGGACGTGTGTGTGCAAATGTGTGTGTGCGTGTGTATACATGTGTGTGCATAAGGGGATACAACTCTATTTAGAAGAAGGAAACTGAGCTTCTGAGAGGAAGGAAGACCAGAGAGTCCATGATGGCCTAACTACATCTCAGTCCAAGTTTCTCCATTGGGGACATTTGGTGACATCTCTGATTTTGATCGTTACCACTGCAGAGTCAATGAATTCAATGAGTAGATGCAAGGGATGTCACTCACTGTACAGTGGACAGGGCAGCCTCCTCAGCAAGGCGTCATCTTCAGTAAGGCGTTACTAGCTTGAATATATGAGTAGCATTGAGGTTGCAAAAGCTTGACCAGAGGACACGAGTAATTTTTATTTTGTTTCTCCTTTCTTCAAGTTTCCTAAGATCAACACATTTCACCTCTATAAAAGGCAGAAACACTCTTTTGGTTAAGAGAATAAAATTTGGCTGTGGGAGAGAGAGCTCAGACGGTGAAGAGCTTCTTATGCAGCCTGAAGACCTGAGTCCAGTCCCCAGAACACAGAGAAAAGACAGGCCATGGTGGGGATCTTGTAATCCGAGGAAGCAGAGATGGGAGGATTGATGGGGTTCACCGGCCAGCCTGCCTAGTGTAGTTGGTGAACTCTAGGGTGATGACAGGCCCTGTCTCAGAAAACAAAGTCTAGAATGATTGGGATTGGCCTCTGCCTTATCCATGTATGCTCACGTGTGTGTGTGTGTGTGTGTGTGTGTGTGTGTGTGTGTGTGTGTGCATGAACACACACACACACAGAGTTGCTGAGGATGTGTGGTGCTGGGTTCCCAGGGAAGGCCAGCTCCAAGGCCTAGGTCTGGTACACAGTGACTATTCTACATAGGCAGGTTAGCAGAATATTCTTTTTGGATAATAAAAAGTTAAAGCCTCATCAAAGAAACAAAAATAAACAATGTAGTATACATAGAAAGGATAAATCTGCATCTACTTCCTGCATCCCAGAACTGTACAGTAGATCCTCTAGGATTCTTTCCAGCTATGAAAAGACAGCATTTGGATAGGGTAGCTGCTACTGTTTAATCCGTGTGTGAACCTCTGAAGCTAATTATCCAAAGAGCTCTAAAGGCTAACTATCAATAGGTTGAGAGCATCTCCCTTAAAGACAGCAGGGCCCAGCAGATGTTTAAGCGTACACAGCATTCTTCAATACTCAGGGGGTTTACTCTCCATCCCAGGCTGTCAATCACAACTCTCAATTGCTCTTGATAATAACCGAGTGCTGGGGGCATGGGTCAGTGGTAGAGTCTTCTCTACTGTCTCCAAGGCCCAGGGTTCAGTCTCTGGAATGTGCATGCATGTGGACAATAATTGAAAATGATTGAATGAAGAGCTACTTGACAATTTGAGAGGCATGATTTGGGGTCACAGTGACCAAGCCTGTGATTTGCAAAGTACCTGCTGGCTTCTCTCTCTTTAAGCAGGTGAATGGGAAAGAATGGTAGCAGGGAGGGGCAGGAGCATCTGATGTCCCTACCATTCTATGTCATAAATGGTACCCATGGCAGGGTGCCCAAGAGCTCCTGAGGGTTCTGCCCAGTCTTGCGAGACCTGGGTGGATGGGCACAGGTGGTTGTGGTCTGGTGCCGCCCAGTGGACAGCTTCAGTACTGCAGTCATCAAGGGTGCTGCCTCTTGGGTCCTGGATAGAATAAACACCTTCCTGTTTGGGAGAGAGCCCAGGGGCAAAGGCTAATAACCTTGCCAACCTCACCTAGCGTGTATGTTCTTTTCTGGCACACTTTTACCTGAGCCTTTTTGTAATCCATCTTTCCACTATTCTGACTTCATGACTACCCCAGAAGAGACAAAGAAAAAGATGAGGGACTCAGGACTCAGGGCATGTGTTGAAGAAGGCAGTTTAATTGGAGAAAGCGCCGAGTTTCGGCATCTCTGCAGCCCTTCCTGAGGCCTTTACTTCAGTCATGCATACCCCCTTGCACATTTAGGCCTTTGCTAGGCTCTGAGGTCCAGCAAGGCTCCACCCTAGCTGTGGGAGGACAATGGGTCAAGAGTTGTTTAATCTCATCAGCAGTGAGGGCAGGAGGAAGTGTGCACACTGAGAAGCCAAGCTAGGGATGCTGAATGCAGCAGTAACAGGCTTCTTAAGAAAAGATGCCAGACTTAAGAGGGGAAGGCAGCAAAAAGGGTTGCTTGACAAAAAGATGGGGATAGGGAATGTTCCAGACAGAGGGGGACAACGTGTAGATGTCTAGAGGCAGGAAGGAGGGTGAAGCTTTCAAAGAGCCCATAGAGGCCAAGTATGGGTCATGGCATGACTTTTTAAGTTGGTGGGCATAGGAGGGCAGAGGATGGGACTGGAGGGGTCTGCATGGCCTGTCCCAAGGAGCCCAGGTTTATGCCAACAATGCTGGGAATGAAGAGGGTTTTCCTATAGGAAATCCCTGCCAGAGGCACAGGATCCAGGAGATCCTTGGGGAGGGGATGGTAAAAGATACTTGGGAGAGGGGCTGTTGGCCCCTCATGACATCACTTATGGCTTAGCAAGTAGTGTGTGTTCTTGGTGACAACAGAGTTGCTCGGGGCCAGTCAGGATACCATCATGTGGAAAGGATGACTCTTTGGAATCATAGGCAAAGGGCAGAATATGAAAGTATGTACTGTAGGGATCTGTAAATTTATGAAAGTTGAGGGCCTTCCATAACAAAGTCCCACGGACCTACCATGTCACTGGCATTAGGCCAGTGTCGGTTTATGAAAGGTCTCATCCTGCCTCAACACCCCACCTTTTTCTTAAAGCAAAATTCCTGACTGATTGCTCTAAATCAAAATGGTTCTCAACCTATGGGTCACCACCATCAAAAAATGCACGTTTCCTGTGGTCTTAGGAAACCCCAACCATAAGTTTCTTTCTGTTGCTACTTCCTAACTGTAACTTGGCTACTGAGTGGTGCCTCAGTTCTTAAGACCATTGGAAAGATGTGTTCTCTGACGGTCGCGACCCACAGTTTGAGAACCACTACTCTAAATGCGAGTATTTCTAATTGTAAGTCAAGGGGGAAAGATATCAAAGCACCATTACCACTCCAAGAAAACACCGGTCTGATAGCATTACCATAGAGACTCCATAGTCGAATTCTCCAGTAATCCCTAAAATGCCATTTACACCTGCTTTTCTCCCCAGTCCAGGATCCAAGTAAGTGTTTAACATGAAAATGTTGGTTACTTTGTCTCCTTAGCGTCTGCCTCTCTATCTTTGTTTGTCTGTCTGTCCATCTACCTCGCTCTCAAACACAGCTTTGTTGAGACACAACTAATTATTATTATTGTGTAGTTCCATCATTTAAAATACAATCTGGGGCTACAGCTCAGTAGGTTACAAAGGAGAGATCAATTCCTGGTCCTGCGAAAGAAAAAGAGGGACAGGGGAAGAAAAAGAAAAAAGAAGAAAAAGAGCGACCGAGGAAGTGTGCCAACTAGGCAATCCATTGTTTTTAACAGACTCATAATCGCACATCCCTTATCGCAATGAGTCGTAGAGAATTAACATTACTCCCAAGCCTCCCCCAAGAACGGGCTGTTACTAGCCTACTTTCTGACTGCAAGCTGTCTTTTTATGGCATTTTATCTTCAGGAAGGTCAGCTGTATGTGGTCCTCAGAGGCTGATTGCTTTTACCCAGAACGTGTTTGATGTCTGTGTTGAGTGTGCTCAACTTTTATTCCTACGGCTGAATAGTCTGCCATGATACGGCCAGTTTTGTCATCTTTCTTGCTTCAATCTCTTTGTCTAGGCTGATATCCCAGGGTTTTTCTTTTGCCTGCCCTCACACTGACTTCTAGTCTATGTTGTGAAGAAGACTCCGACCTACATTCTTAATCGGCTGGCTTTCTCCTTCTTAGACCCCAACTTGGGGTTTGACAGGAGCTCTGTATGGGGTGAGCTGCCTGCTGCCTGTGGCATCTCTGGGGACACACACTTCCAGACCTGTGCACTGCTGGGGAGGCTCCAGGTCACTGAAATAACTTCTGGATTTATTTCATTCATTTCCCTTTCTAATTGGTCAGTAACCTGCGGGGCACTAGTGCGACACCGTGTAACTGTCCTGCCGACTGATTTTAGACCGTGACAATCACAGTCTCAACCCCTTCGACCCTGGGACTTCTGAGCAATGAACTCTACATACATTTTTGTGGGTCTTCTGGAATGGCATGTTCCATCTGCCCACTGTGGAGTGAACCCACTGAGGTCATTATTCTTACTGAGCTCAGGTGGTACCCCACTGTAGCCTTTGGGGGTCATCTTTAGACTGGCTCCTTTGCCCTTTTGTTATCTCCTCATCATTATTTGAATTCTCTTGTATTTGTTGTTCCTGCATTCCCCTCAGTGGGGAATAACAAAAGCCACCACCACTAGAGGGTGACTCTTGTAGGCTTTCTTGCCTCTTAGTCCCTCACACCTCCAATAACAACAGCAGCTGTAACCGCCTGTGGCCAAGGCCATTGACCCCTGGCTGCCCATGACCAATCCTGGACTGCAGTAGGCACCCAAGGATGGTGGCAGAGTCATGTTGGTCCTTGACAGGGAGACTTGCTAAGAAGAGAATCTAGCCCTGAGGTGGGACTGCTCCTCTTTTGGCAGGTATGGGCTTGACCAATGTGGTTGTGGAAAAGACCCGTGGAGAGATCTTGTCCCTGCCTTTTCTTGATGACTGGTACCCAGGGCTCTTATTGGGCATCCTCTGCTTGTCGTCTGCCAGGGGCACTTTTCGTGAATGTCCCGGAGGAGAAATAGTAGCTTAGAAGGATGCAGGCCAGACCAGGCGGATATGATGATGCTTTAAAAAAAAAATAGATACAGAAGCTGGCCACAAACTTGACATCACCATAACCTGTCAGGGTGACAGAGGAGCTGCCACAAGCACAGGTGCCTGGATAAAGAAATTAAAGTTGGTCAGATCAGTGTGCCTCCAGTGAGGGTTCCAGCTGCTCAGGGTGGAAGCTGGCTAGAGCTGTGTGAGACGCGGTGGTGATGGCCCATTTTACAGATGGAAACCCTGAGGTTCTAGGAAGTCAGTTTCATGGCCTTCATCTCAAAGTTAGTCATCCATGAAAGGATGCTCCTTATGGTTGCTTTCCACCAAGACCTCTAAGGATGTGAGTTTTCTCCAAACAGGCTCTTTACTGGCCCAAGCAAGACAGTTAGGCTGTCCATAGGAAGGGTCTGTGGTGAGCTCCAGTTGGCCAGCTTGCTGATGGCTTCCTGAGGCAGAAGCAGCCCCACCCCCACCCCACAGGCATTCACCTTGCCAGGGTCCGGGGCTTGAGTATGACTAGAATCATCTGGTTTCCCTGAGATGCACTGGTAAAGCCCTTCGTACTTTTGGACACATGCCAGCCCCAGAACATACACAGAGTGCTCACCCATGGTTGCCTTGAGGGAGCTGTTTCCAAGGATATTGTGGGACCTAAGACATGGCATCTCAGGATTCTGTGTGGGGAAGCGGTGGAGTGGAATCCTGAGCGTAACTGCTAAAGTCTCAGGACTGAGCGTTGTCCCGTATTAAATGTGACGCTTTTTTTTAGCTGGCCATTCTTGGCCATCTCCACCAACACAATAGTGGGACTCTGGGCATCACCTGTGGGTGCAGAGGCAACCAAGACTCCAGTGTTCTTGCTGACAAAGGGGACAGTATGAAAAGTCACTCCAGGAGGGTACTCTGCTTGCGAGAAACTGCCGCGACTCCCAAGCGCTGGCACAGTGGCATGTTGCCAAAGTGACTGAGCAGCGCCCTGTGCTCATTCCACGCGCATTCACCATTTGCTATTACGGACTCGGGAGGGTTCAGAATGAGATGTCATGTGCTGAGTCTCCTGTGCCCCTGTGGGGTGGGTGGTAAAGTGGCCTACAATCTGCCTTAACTCTCTGTTTCCCTGCCATTCCACTCCCCTGCTTTGGCACCGTGGTCTGGTTACCAGCAGAGGGCAGCGGAGGGGTTAACTCCCCCAAATCCCAGTTGAAAAGGAGAGGAGGGGAGACCTGGTTTGCTGAGGTTCCCAGGAGCCTGAACTCAGCCTTCCTTCTACTTTGCCTGGAGCCTGAGCACTCTGGAGCAGCTTGGACTCTGAGATGCACTTGCCTGCCCTGGCCCAGAATATGGTGACTCAGGAGTTAACCGCAGGCTGACTCCCCTGAACTTCCCCAGCTCAGGGTTCTTAACCAATCCCTCCACCCACCTGGGGAAGGAACGGGAATGGGGAAAAAAATGTCCAACATGGAGAACAGCTTTGATGATGGGTCTCACCTCTCTCACCAGAACCTGGGATCCTCGTCGCCGAGCAAGAAACAGAGCAAGGAAAACACCATCACAGTAAGTGGCTTGACTGTTGGTGGGGGGAGGGCTCCAGGGCTGGGGCTTTGGGTCACAACTGGGCCGTTGCCGTGGCAACGTGGACCGCCAAACCCAGAATCGATGCTCACTAGGAAATAGAGAAGTTGCAGCCAAAGCTTGGGTTTAGCTGAAGTTACCCCCCATCTCCTCCCACTGTCAATTTCCCCTTTTGCTTGCTCTCCCCCGGTGAAGGGGTGGAAGGCAGGAGGCTGTAAGGAGACAGAAGCTGCTTCTGTGTGGTGGGCAGGAGAAGGTGCTTGTGGGGGAGCGAGTTGAAGGGGGTGGAGTGTGCTGTGTGCAGAAATGTGACATGGAAATTACAGCCACCGCAAGGCTGCTTTTGTGCAGGGAAACTTCTGGAAGATGTCAAAGTTAAAAGCAAGAAAAAGCTCCCTACAAATAGCATTTCTGGGAGTCCCTGATGAGAAAAGCTTCTGTCCAAACTCTCAGGGATCCTCCCCAGTGCTAGCCAGATACCTCTGTGGGGATGAAGCATGGGCCCAACTCCTCCCTCACAACCCCGTGATGTACTGTGGTCAGGACATCTCTATCCTAGCCTCTAAGGGAGGGAGCTGCCTAGATTCTTAGCCAACAACCCGGAGAGTTGAGAAGTGAGGTCTGTGTAGATTTGCTATCCTGGCATGAGTTCCTGGCACGACTTATAACCTTGGGCTCCTTGTCACCCTGTTCTGAACTGCCCTGACTACCTCTGCAAAGATAAAAACCTGAGTGGGTGAATCGGACCATTCTGCTGTGCAGGGAAGAGCGAGCCAGACAAACAGTAATAGCAAGCAATCATAATAACCTGCCGTCAACTTAGTGCCCGCTTGGTACACCAGGACTGCTCCTAGGGCTTGCTGCCTGCGGTGTGAGCTGTGGTTAACAGAATCGACTCCAGGCGGGGATTATACACCTAGACTCTGAAGCCAGAGTGTCACTTACCTCACTCACAAAGCTGTGAGTTCGAGCTAGTTTCCCAGCCTCTGCTGGTGCCTGTTTCTACATAGCAGGGAAGAGGGCTTCGGCAATGGGGGAGTGGGGTGACTTGGTCCATAATCATAAGCATCCAGAACAGAGTTGGGCATGCACCCCGTGCCTGATATGCATTAGCGTGGCCATCACACTGTACACAGACAAGGAAACTGGGGCACAGTGTAGCACCATGCCCAAGTCACCTAGCTAGGAAGCTTCAAGCTTCAAAAACTCAGCTCGTGCCCACTGGCAGTGCCCCTCCTGAGCTGGTGTAGGTCCCTCAGGCCATCACCCTGCCTTGACCCTTCGGAGTCTCCTGGAAACTGGGCAGGGCGGCTCAGCTTGCTGCAACCCTGTAGCAGCCACAGCTTCTCTTTCTAGAGAATCTAGAGGAACCTGGTAGGGCATAGGCCAACCTAGGTTCAGACTTGGGAGGGCATGGTCCCTATCTTCACATTGCTACTAAATGCTCCACAATGCTGAAGCAAGAGGAGAACTACTCAGAGCCAACAGAAACGGGGAGAAAGGAAGAAGAGAAAATAAGAGGGAGACACATTTTCACATTCTAGAAGCAAACACCCGAAGTGAAAAGAGACGGGCCCGTGTTGCACTGGCTCTTGTCTTAAAGGCACATGGTGATGGAGCCCAGTCAGAGTCAGGCCCCTGCTGGGTCCTTGCAGTCAGAGCTTCTGAATATGGCCTGACTTTGTTGCTTGTCACTCCTGCCTGCTCCTTCCCTCTGGCCGAGATGGCCTGCGTTGGTACCAAGGTCCTGAGACACTGTTTAAGGTGTGGATTTCTGAAAAACATCTGTAGATGGTCTCTCTGGGGGCGAGGACCAAAAACTGCATTTCTGTCAACACTAGAGAGGGTTGATGTGAATGCTTACACCCTGGAGAACTGTTGCTGGGAAAACTGAGCAAAAGAGGGAGTGGCCACAGGTCACACAGCAAGGGAGAAAGAAACCCAGGACTCGATCACATCCAGGTCTCCCTACTGGCAACCTGGCTGCTTGCCCATGTATCCCTTGGATACCCCAACCCTTTATCACTTCAGAATGAAGACCTGACTCATTATTTCCCTCATGTGGTACCCTGTCTCCACACCCAGCCCGCTAGCTCCATGTGCAAACCCCGTAGAGCTCAGCACTTCTTTCACGGGATGGGACGGCCCTGTACCTAGAAGGCTGAGACACCACTTTCCTGTTCTGGGGGAATACAGGAATGTGGTGAGCAGTTTCCATGCCATCTGACCTGGGAGGCAGCCACTGACAGGCCCTGCCAGGGCAGGATGCATGTCCTCAGTCATGGAGCAGGGACTGAGCTGGATTTGAAGTTCAGTGGCCCAAAGCTAGTTTAGAAGAACAGGCACATGGGCCCACTGGCAGCAGATACAGGGCTGGCAGCCATGCCTGGGTCTTGTTCCTGCTGTCAGTAGTGTTAGGTTGGCAGGTGGGGGCAGGGCACTGTTTGATTGGGAGTGACAGGCATTAATGGCCGCTTACTGCCCTCAGCATAAACTTGACACATCAAGATATAGAGGGTTTGAGCAATAATGGCAGAGAAGGCCCGAGGCACAGTCTCCTGGAAGGAGGAACTAGAGGGCCCTGTGGTCCTCTGCTTGGATGCCCAGCGTAATGAAGCATGGCATCTTGGGAGGGAGCTAGTGGCTGGAGGGAAGCCCATGGGACCCTTTCCAGTCTTCTCACTTTCCTGGGTCAGGGTCACACAACGTTGTTAGCTGCAGCCTGGGTTACCAAACTCTGTAACCTTAACCTGAAGGCTGGAAGGAGACTATCACCCTGCCCTGGACACAGACTGTACTGCCCTACAATGAGAGCAGGTGCCACTCAAGTGGGTCACACATGTGTTCTGCATCCCTGGTGGACCAGCCAGATGCCTGACCAACTGCTGCCACCTCCTTGGTGCCTTCAGTAAATGTCTGGGAGCAATTCTCTTGATCTGCAGCGTGCCTCAGTCAAACAGCCCCTGCAATAGGAAGTGTTCCATCCATGGGGGTGGGCAGCGGTGTTTCTCCATGTGGCTGTGCCGAAGACTGGGGATCCCCAGAGGAGACAGTAGAAGTGGCCACACCACATACACACACATTGACAGGCACACCCCTCCTCTGTTTCCTGCTCAACAACCGTCTTTGGCATGAGCAGGGCCTTGCTACACTTCGCCCCAGTGAGTTAGACAAGTCATGTGTTGACGGGATTCAAATGCTAGTCTAGACCTAGAATCCTAGTCTGGATTCAAGCCATGACTCTACTACCGCATTCAAACTCTGGGATCTGGCTTAAGTGACTTAACCTCTCTGTGCTTCGGTGGGTGCCTTGAGTGGCTGTTATAAGGACTGTATGAGTCCACACATGGCGAGACTCCGGACATGATTAGCACTCACTGAGCATAAAGTAAATCCCTGGGCTGTCTCCTGTGCAGCAACAGGAGGAACCGAGGCTCCCACTGCTCCCAGCAGGCTATTGGAGGAGGCACACCTTTCCTAAGGGTGCAGCTGAACATTCCTAGCTCCTGCCTGGTGATCTCCAGGAGGGGAAAGGAACCTGCCCACGGAGATATTCATAGAGAAAGACATGTCTGGCTTTCTCTTATTTCCTGGAGTATTGTGGCCCTGCTAATGGAGCCTGTGGTTCAGGGACACAAGAACCTGTGTCCCTGTGAGGCCTGAGCATCACAGAGGGGCAGGAAGAGAATGATGGACTGGTACTTGAGAGGGTACTTGAGTGGCACTCTCCTGTGCCCCTCTAGCTTCGTGACAGTGGCCTGTCAGCCTCTGTGCCTCGTCTCCTCCCCTGTGCGTGTTTGCACCACTGTTGCAGGTGGACATTTTTGCTCTGATTGCTTCATTGCGCCGCACTTACAACATCCTCTACCGCTGAAGCCTCCTGCTCTCCGGAATCCTCTCATCTTTCTCCTTATAACCCAACACCATCAGCCAGGCCAGGGTCTTCACGTTCTCGCCTGGGCACTGTTGGCATTTGGGGTCAAGGGCAGTCCTGAGCCTTTCCTGCCCTGGGACCACAGTCATATCCTTTCACCTCTCCAAACTGCAGCCTCCATCGTATGGGGCTGGGAACTCACTCAGAGAGCGCTGTCCTGTCCATTTCGTGTTCATACTAGACTCTTGGTGGCTAACTGTCTTCAACACAGACATCTGGACACATCTGCCGGAGTCCTTCTTGCTTCTGAGCCAAACTCAGCATACATGTGTGTGAACACACACACACACACACTAAAGCACTCATATACTCATACACACATGTGTGCACAAATACACACACACAGATACACACACACACATAGAGACTCCAGCCCTCCTCCTACCTGAAATACCCTTTCCTCTATCAGCCTGCTTGCCTAGATCCTCCTCAAGTACCACTTCATCTAAGAATCATTCCAGCAACCCCAGCCCTTCATGTGGCCTCAGCATCCCATGCCTGCCCTAATGAGAGGCGTATCCCAAGAATAATCACCCCTTAACTATCAGGCTCTTGAGAACATACGCTGTACCTCAGACCTGGTTCCTAGTCATTGCAATAATGATGCTTTGTTGAATACCCGCTGTTTGCCTGACGTGCAGGACCTAGGAAAACCTTAGGATAGGATGGTCTCCATCCCTTCACCTGCCCTCATGGGCAAGCTGTCAGCAAGGAAAGGAAGAAGAAAAAAGCCATCAGGAGTACATCAAAGACGTATGTGTGCAGGGTGCTGGGGAGACCTGGCATAGCAGATAAAACCCGACATGGCGCATGCAATGGAGGAGCTATCCGGTAAACATTCAGCTCTACCGCCAGCCTGACCTGGATTTGAACACTTCTGTGATCTGATTTCCTCAGTGTTGTGCACTTCTCTACCTGACCACCAGGGGGAGAAGAACACTGAGGATCCAGGGAAGTCCCATTGGGTAACAGGAACCAGAACTGACAGAGGCAGTGACAGGCACCCCAGGGCTCCTGACCAGGGCATCCAAGAACTAATAGCCCCAGAGTGGCAGAAGTATCATGAGTCTCCAGCTTCTCTCACCTTCACTCCTGCCCAGGCCCCATCCTTTCATGGCTGGTCCAGGTGTCTCTGAGACACATTACACCATGGCTCCAGGACAACGGAGGGGTCGAATGGAACATAATCAAATCCCAGCTATCCTATAGACCTTCTGTGCCTTGGAGCCAGCTGAGGATTGCCATTGGAGGGGATTCCTGTTACTCTCTCCGCTTTGGACTAACAGAGTCTGTCTTCTCTTCATGGGCATCCTGGGGTAGAGAGTACCACCCTTTCTCTGAATGTGGGTCCTCTCAGGGAGGATGCTAGGCATGGCTAAACAAGACCCATTTTCTGCTTGCCCTGACCCATCATTGGCCAAGCCACTTGTGATAAACTTCTTCCTTTGTGGCCAAGGCCAAGAGCAGTTTGGATGAAGACTGATGAAGAAGGTCAGGGGAGATCATAAGGTTCCTTAGAAATCAGTACTGCCTACTTTGAGTACCGCGGCCCCTAGCAGCAGGTCCCCATCTGTGAATTCAGCCAGCTGAGGATCCCCTAGCCACAGGTTGAAAACTGTATCTGTACTCAATTGTACAACCTTTATCCTTGATATTACTCCCCATTCAATACGGTAGAACAACTATTCAGCTCAAATTATTAAGTATTATAAGACTATGGAATGCAGGGGGGTCTGTGTTTGTTATATGCAAATACGGTGCCATTTTACATAAGGGAGCTTGGCATCTATAAATTTTGCCATCCATGTGAGGCCTGAAAACAGTGCCCACCTCTCCACCCCCAGATACTGAGGGGTAATTGTGCCTTAAATCTGTGGATTCTGTGATTATTTATTTATTTGCATGGATGTGTTTGTGTGTGCATGGTTGCGTGTGCACAGTTATGTGTACATGCTCACATGCATGTGGAGACCAGAGGAAAGTGTGTCTTTCTCTATCACTCTCTGCCTAAATTTCCTTGAGATAGTCTCTCGCTAAACCTGGAGCCAGCCTGGCAGTCAGCAAGTTCCCAGCAATCCTCCTGTCTCTGAGCCTCATGCGGCCATGCCTGACTTGTCACTGGAGTTGCAGGAGTTTGAACGCAGATCCTCATGCACGCACAGCAAGCGCTCCTACCCACTGCCTCTCCAGCCCTGGTTCTGCGATTCTTAGCTCCTGATTTCTTTACTGTTAGAAATCTTATATCATTAAATTACATTGAAGCTTTCACGAAGCAAAATAAAGGTGACTGTCATCACCAAGATGGCTTAACCTCCATACCCTGTTTTTATGCTGGCCCCAAGCAGCACCCACTCAGTGGGAGGCTGGCAAGGCCCCTAAAGAAGACTCAAATCAGGACACCTCACAGCCGGGAGGGACTTCAGCCTAGATCAAGAACTTGGAGAGACCTTTTCCTGAAGCTGGACATGAGATGATGCCTGCTCTACCCCCTGCCCTCCACCCCCGCCATCCAGCCCCTAACAACAGCTGCAGGCCAGAACTTCTTCACACTGAACCAACTGGGGCAGAATTCAGTGCTGTTGAACTCCAAGGCACTGTGACATTCCTGGCCCCCTTCCTACCATGTCATCATGCTTCTTCCCAAAGGAGCCCCTGCCTTATCTCACCAATGTCAATGTCCTTTTCCTTCTGGACAGCACTTCCGGGTCTCCTCACCCAGGCTTGTGAGGGTAGCTGCTGCCCCTGACAGCTGGTAGGCTGGAAGGGCAATGCACTGACTACCACAGGCTCTCCCGCCCTTAAGTCAGAGGTCCCAGGGTCTGATTCAACTGACATGGGAGTTTTCTGGTTGGCCATAGCGTTTTGTTTATGTTTTTAATTTTTTAAACTCAAACAATTGCCATCACTGAAAGCTTGAGACAATTGACATACCAACCCCACTCTTTGGCTAACCTGGAATCAGCTCATAGTCTGGTGGCGTGGAGCAGGAATCTGAATCTGCCCATGAGATATGTGTCCACAGCCTGTAGCCCCTGCCCAAGGCACAGGCTGTTTCCCTCCTGTCCTGGTTGTAGATTCTGTGTCACAGGGGTACCTGGCTGTCTGCATGACCCTCCTAGGTCAGAGCTTGAAGACAATCTGCCACCCTCTGCGGGTTCCTGGTTGGCTTATCCATTCAGCACCAGAACTCCCCACTGTGACAGATGACTGGTCTGTGAGGTGAGGTTGGAGGAAGACGCCTTGGTGTGAGGCTGGGGAATGGCAATTCCATCAGAAAAGCAGCAAAGCCACTCCCACAAAGGGGGCAAGCCACTCCCACAAGGGACAAGCCTCTCCCACAAAGGGGGTGGGGGGCAAGCCACTCCAACAAAGCTGAGGCAGCTAGGGAGGATCACAAACACAGCTGGGAGAAACAATAGCTTTAAGCACCCAGAAACTTCCACACCACATTCTCCATCCTTAGGGCCAGCCCCAAGCCTGCACCCTGGATTATATGTTTAAGCTGTGGATGTTCATACCACAGTATGAACCTCTCACCCCCGACCCCCAGGTGCTTCTAAGTCAGCCCTATCCTTGGCTCTTCTTAGAAGCAAATTCAGATTTAGTTGCTGGCTTCCAGTATGATCCCACACAGGACATACCAAACACACAGATATTACCCCACTTCTTCGTACAAATGGAGCACACTGTGATACTAAAACCATTCTACACATCATCTGTGGACCACTGTGCACTCAGGTGCACTCGGCCCTTAGCAGTGCATCCAGGTACTGTTCCTCATCAGTGGAATGAACCCTATTGCTCTAGCACTGATTTGTTTTTCACGTACACATTCATTGTACGTGGCACTGTGTCTTCTGCCTCTCCTTCCTGGGTGCTGGGATTGAAAATGGTACCACCACTCCTGACTCCTCTCAGGCTTTCCTTACAAATTCCCCCCACCATTGGACAGTGTGGTTCTGGTCCAGCCTTTGACGGCATAGCCAGTGTATGGTAGATACCAGGCACATACATCCCTGCACACATAGGCAGTTACATCTGTAGCACCGTCTCTCAGAAGCACGGTGGCTGGGTCGCAAGATCTGGGCACTTACAATTGTGATAGATCCGATTAAATTCTCACCAGAGAGCTTTTCCTCTTCGTAGCCTCTAGGATGGGTGTGGGGGCCGAATGCCTCCTATAGAAAGTACCCACTGGCTGCCGGCAAAGGGCAAGATTGCTGAGTATATTCCACCAAAGTGGCCCCGGGGAGGTGTCCTTTGTGCTCTGGCCACCTGATCCAGCATTCTCTTTCTCTGCAGATAAACTGTGTGACATTCCCTCACCCAGACACAATGCCTGAACAACAGCTGCTCAAGCCGACTGAGTGGAGCTATTGTGACTACTTCTGGGTGAGTCCTGCCTCAGTTTCTCTCCACTGTGACCCCAACAGCAGCATACACCTGGGAAGAGCGGAAGGGGCCTTTCTTGTTGAAGCTGCAAAGTGTGGTGTCCAGTTTGGCATCTCAGACAGGACTTTTGCTGGATTCTGGATCATTCTGGCAGTCCCAGGAAATCTGTGTGGTTTTCCTGCCCTGTAACACGGCCAGAATGCCAGAAAGCTGAAAGAAAGCTCCCTCCAGGGCTGGATGGAGGCAGGAGACTAGAATTACATTTAATAAAGAAATATGAGCTTCAGGCCTGCTCGACACCACTGTGAGTGGCCTTGGGGACACTCTCTGCCTCTTGGCATGTTGCTTTCCCCAGCCGAGTCATGAGGAAGTCGGGTACAGAGATGTATAAACTGTCTCTTTCAGCACCCACGGCTCTCAAGTCCTTGTGTATTGCTTAGTGGGTACAAAGTTGCCTGTTGCAAGATGAAAAGTTTCTATTGATGATGGATGGCAGAACGTCACCACCTCAGTCTTAATACTCTTAATGTCACTAAACTGTATATGCACTTAGAAATGACGATGACAACAATAAATCTCACATTATGTATATTTTCCCACCGTTAAAATGATGTCTTAACGTGTATGCACAGTCCCGTACATCAAGGATGCCAGAGCTAGCCCAGAGCACTTGCGGTTTGAAGTTGCAGGGACACTGACCCTTCTGCAGTCATAGTGGTGAGGGTTCACGGCACCTCGGCCGTCTATAGAAAATGACTAAATCTCTATAAGGCACTTTCGGGAAGACCCCAAGGAACAATCAATAAATAAAACCTCTTCTCACTATGGCACAGAATGGATTATCTGCCCTCTTTTTATATCTGCTAAATACTAGCCCAAAGTGCTTTTACTTTCTCCCAAATCCTGCACCCCTTAGGCAGCACCCAAAGCTTCCTGCTTGTCCCTGTAGAGCGGTCCTGCTACTCAAGCTGTCCTGCTGGTAAGATAGAGGTCTGCAGAGGACATGGAAGCTTTGGGGGCTGTGAGAGATGACCCAGGAGAGAGACGTGTATGCAGTAAGGAGACGGGAAGATTCTGGAGGCCTGAACGAAGTCGTGTCTTTGCTGTCTGTAGTAGGGAGGTACTGAAGGAGTTTTGAGAAAGACTTGGGTGTAACCTGTGCTGTGCCTGTTGCAGATGGGAATGGAGGGTGAGAGGCGAGTGAGTGGACCAGGAAGAATGGGTGACAGCTGCAGAAATAAAGAGTGACTGTCATGTGTGTGGAAGACATCCTTAGGACTCTAGGGGGGAGACAAGAAAGTGGTGGAGCTGGGCAGAACAGGTGATCCTGCCTGTTGTTCACTGGCATCCTGGGGATGTCCTTCTTTTGCTAGTTTGGGTTATGTTGAGACCGCCAGGCCACCCTGTGCATCTGTTTCCCAAGGGTTGGGATCACAGGCCTACACCGCCGTGCTTAGTTAAGAGTTCTCACCTTAACCTGAACTCTGGCTCCTGGTCCCTCGGTGGTTCTCCTTTTCTGACTGTCAAAGCCTTTTCCTCTTAGTAGAAACATCTCCTCGATGGCACAGTCTTGGGAGCACACTGTTCTTGTAGGTTTTTCTTAGAGCCAATGAGTCGTTCAGCCTGTTTACCCCCGAGGGAAGCGGGTTTGGGCTCAGTCATTGGGGTGACTTCCTTGCCATTCTATCAAGATGTAGCATCCACAGCATGAAGTGAGCACACCTTAAGCATCCATAGAGAAGCCTCAGGCGGGCATGGTGGTAATCTCCCTGTAAGGAAAGGTGTTAGTGGTATGTTTTGGGTCAGTGTTGCTGAAGAAAGAGTGTCACCATGGTCAGGACAGGGAAGAGGGCCCATGAAGCTCTTCCCGGTGAGAGGGGTTTCTGCAAGCTGCAGTGGCTCCCTGGCAGTGATCTGCAAGGGATCCTAGAAATGCAGAATGCAGCCTGCTCCCAGATGACTGGGCTTTTGTTTCCTCCTAGGCGGATAAGAAGGACCCACAAGGGAATGGCACAGTGGCTGGATTTGAACTGCTGCTGCAGAAGCAACTGAAAGGCAAGCAGATGCAGAAAGAAATGTCTGAGTTCATCCGGGAAAGGTGAGACCAATGCCCGTGTAGCCCTGGAGCTGGCCACCACCAGGCCCACTCTGAACCCTGGACCCCAGGGGAGTGGATAGCTGGTCATGCTTAGCCCTGGGACAGATGTGGCCAGCAGATATGCAGTGTAGACATGGATAGTGTTTCTAAAGATTTGAACCAATATCTAAAGAATTGAAAGAAGGAGGTCAGGAGTTCAAAGTCATCCTCAGTTGTGTAATATGGCTTATCTGAGCTACATGAGACCTCAATATATGTATTGAGACACATGAATGTGCATGCACACTCACACACACACAAACACACACATACACACACGCACACACACATTGCATTGAATCCTGGATGCTTGGTATCTCTTGATGCTTGCACAGCCCTGTGCAACAACTGGCTGGAGTTGAATAGTTGCTGTCCATGGAAGGAGCACAGGTCCTGTTTGCCACAGTCTCCACTCCTTCCCACCATCCCCTGACTTGCCGCTCCATTCTTTACCCTCATTTGAAGCTGTCCCTTACCTTCCAGGTCTTCTTTTTCTCCTGAGACAAAGTCTCACTGTGTAGCCCTGACTGACTTGGAACTCTCTCTATAGATCAGGCAGGCCTCAGACTCAGAGATCCACCTGCTCTGCCTCCTGAGTGTTGGGACTCGAACTGTGTGCCACTCCTGTCCTTCCAGGCCATTTTCTAACCAAAACATTTCTCAGGCCAAGGGATATAGAACTGCCCTCCCCACTAGGGATCCTAATAGCCCCGTGCCTGAAGAACTTGGGTCATAGGTGAAGATCCTATAAATTCAGATTGTGGAAAATATGAAGAACTGCAGAGAAGTCCCCTCTCCATCTTTCTCCTCTCTGTCTCTCTTGTTCATATTCCTGCATAACATGCAGATCCATGTGTAGAAGGAGGGGCCTCTTGTTTGTTCCTGGCCACTTAGCCCTGAAATAATCACACAGAAACTGTATTAATTAAATCACTAGTTGGCCCATTAGCTCTAGATTCTTAATGACTAACTCTTACATATTAATTTAACCCATTTTTATTAATCTGTGTATCGCCGTGTGGCTGTGGCTTACTGGCTAAAGTTCCAACGTCCATCTCTGGCAGGGCTCCATGGCTTCTCTCTGACTCCACCTCCTTTCTCCCAGCATTCTGTTTAGTTTTCTCCACCTAGCTCTGTTTCCCTATAGCTCTGCTATAGGCCCAGAGCAGTTGCTTTATTAACTAATGATATTCACAGCATACAGAGGGGAATCCCACCTTACCCATGCACAAATGCACCTGTATACCCTCATGCCTGCTCATACACATACACATACCCACACATTCTGGCCTCTACATGCCCCAACACAGAAATAACTGTGTACCTACATAGCCATGCATCAGATCCCCATACAGCTATACATCTGGGCACCTGTACTCCCACACACCCCTACATCTTACCCTATCCCTGTATACCTATGTGCCTACACACCCACATCCCCATGTACTCCCATGTGACTGCATACCTGTGTACCGGTACCCACACATCACACCTACACACCCAAGTATATGCATACCCACATCCCTCTGCACAGATAGCTACACATCTGGGTGCCTGCACACTCACACACCTTCAAGTTCAGGCACTTGCACAGGCATGCTTTGGCATACCTACACCCTTGTGCGCCTATACCTGCACACCCACGTACATGCACACCCACATGCCTGTGCATCCATGCCTTCATACATGTCTATACATCTCTACGTTTGTTTGCTTGCCTACCCACATCACACACACACACACACACACACACACACATCTGGACATTTACACACCACACACTTGCATACTTACACACCCCTACATCTGTATACCCACACACCTGTGTGCCTACACACCCCCATCAACACATTTTTTTTTCACAAACATATGCTCAACTTTCCAGCTAGTGTTTCCAAGACTTGCTGGAAAGATCCATTGCAAATAGCAAAGAACTTTTCAAAGTATTTCTTCATTATAACACTAGTAATTGGGTAATAATTCTTTGGCATTTTTAAAGCCCGTTTTTTCCTTAGGAGGCCTATTTTCCATTTGTATAATCAAATCTTTATGTTATGACCCATTAAACTAGTAGGAAATTGGAAGGCTGCTTTGTTCAGATGCAAGAAAACAGAAGCATAAAGTAGACAAATAGGAAGCAATAGGAGCTGAAGCCTCAATGTGCATATGGTTTTCACTCATAACAATGTCCTATTGGCAAATGAATGGTTTCTGTCATCTCTGGCCACTGAGGTCTCGGGGAACCAGCGGAGGGAATTCAAATCCCTGGAACCTTTCTCAGCCCGCCTTTGGAGCTCTCGGGGAAGCCATCTGAGGCAGGAAAATCAGGCTGTGGGGTTGGGACTTGCAGCTTTGCTGGGCTGAGAGAAGTGGGCAGGAGGTGGAGATAACACAGCCGGCTCACAGCAGAGGCCCAGGAGGCAGATGGCGTGTGCACCTCCCTCTCTTGGCATGTGCACTTGGCCTTGTGGCATGATGAGATCTGCTTTCTGGAGGTCGTCTTGGCCCCAGTATGAAGTTGCTGCAGGGTAGAGGTCCGCATTATTGGGGCTGGAGACAAAGGCAGGACAGAGATGGGTTAGCGAGAAACTTGGGAACTTTCGGACAAGGCTCCAGCCAGAAGTGAGGGGTGAGAAGGTGTGCAGAGGCTTTAGCAGGTCCAAATAGTCACTCTGTCTGGGTCCCTGCATCCTTTGGGTCTCAGCACCCTAGCAGGCAAGAAGCACATGCTGCAATTCCATGTCCCAGGACTCCTCTATTCACTGAGTGAAGGCTGGAAGGACTGTCTAGGGCCCTGCCTTCAGACCACCTCTGGTTATCATAGCACATCTCCGCCTCCCACCACGGCCCCAAGAGCCTCTTAAGACGTGAACGTGCTGTTGACAGCCCACGTAACATGGATATGCCTAGCTGTACAAAATGTGCCCCGGAGAGTTGCCTTGGAGGTGTATGGAAGGTTTTCCCCTCTGGGGAAATCCAATGGGATTGCAGCTCTGGACCCTACCTGGTTTCCATGGAAACACTTGCACCCTTAGCAATGCTTTGCAATTGAAGGCATTGTGGGTGGGAAAGTGGAGGAAGATGTTCTCTTCTCGCTTCTGTGGGCTGAGGCCATCTGGGAGCGTGTGAACCTGGAACTAAGGGATGGAAGGGCTGGGTACATCCTGGGCATCCCTGGGAGTCTATCCCAAGCTTCTCTTGTTCCTGGAAGGCTCTTATGCCCCACCTTGTGCTTGGAGTGGTGCAGATGACATCTGCCAGCAGTGGGAAGCAAAGTCTGAACCAGTCCTTTATTGGGAACTTGCCACTGTGGGTTCCCCCTGTGTAAACAGAGCAGCAAACACTACTGGCTCAGGAACTGACATGTTAGAGGGTCTCTTTTCAAGACTGAGGCACGGCAGGGTGTGGTGGGTCCAACTTATGGTCTACACTGCGGAGCAGATAAACCGGGGTTTCTCTCTTCGCAGGATAAAGATTGAAGAGGAGTATGCAAAGAACCTGGCTAAGCTCTCTCAGAACTCCCTGGCTGCCCAGGAGGAAGGGTGAGTTGGGAGGAGAGTGGCAGGACTGGGGAGGATGAAGGGACACAGAGAAAGGGATCCTTACTTATCAGCAATGCTGCCCTATTGGGATGGAGAGATTGCTGTAGGCTTGTCTGGCTCACTGTGGGATTGGTGCCTTTGAATCATTCATAGTCGAAGGTAGATCCTCATGACTCGAGGTAGGCACTCATGCCTTAGACAGGGACTGGTAACTCAAGGTGGATACCCATGGCTCAAGATGGGTTTTCACAGCTCAGGGTTCAGACTCGTGCTTTAAGACAGTACTCATAATTAAGTGTTGTAGCCTCTAATTTCAGCAGGCTGGTGACTGAGGAATGGGGAGATTAAGAATTTGGGGACAACCTGTGCTGCATATCTAGACCCTATCTCAGATAAACAAACAAAAATACTGGTGCTCCTGACTCAGCGTGGGCACCCATGACCTGAAGTCCAAATATTCATACCACGGGTTTTCCCTCCTGAATATTTTTTTTTTCAGTGACCTGAGTCTCCTAGGTACTGGAGCACATCAGAGCTCCTTTGCACTGTGCCCTGTAGCTGAACAGCACCCTCTAGGTGTCCAGCTCTGTCACCCTTTTCCCAGAGGGAAACTAAGTCTGAGAATTTCCTATCCAGCCTTTGAGAGTGCTTTTGAGAGCCCCAGGCAAGGCCTCATCTCCTGAACCTATGGTGACAGTCCAGACAGGGTTAAGGGACACTTCCAACCCTCCCAGCCATGCAAGGATGTCCAGTGAGAGAAATCCTGCAGGGATGGATGCCTTCTCTTCCGTCTTCAGAGCCCGGGCCCTCGTGATCACTGCGAGGCATGGCAAACGACACAGGCACTGTGCAAAATCGCATGGCCTTCCTCAGGAGAGAATCAGAGAAGTAGTATATGTTGCCACCCCTTCTGAGGTTTATACCCAAATGAGTCAAAAACAAGGAGTCAAACAAACATGTTCAAAGTAGTACTACTCACAGAAACTAAAAGGTAGAAATGGCCCAAATTTCAACAGGAGGTGAACGGGTATGCAAACCATGGTGTGCTCACAAATGGATATTCATGGATGCACAATGGGATATTATTCACCCATAAAAAGGAATAGAATACTGAGACTCGCCACCTTATGTGTGAACCTCAAAAACGTGATGCTAAGTAAAAGAAGCCAGCCACCATGGGTCACAGAGTCTATCCTCCCGTTCATATGTAGTGTCCAGAATAAGCAAAGACACAGAGGCAAACTCACAGGCTGGTGATAAAGAGGGAAATGAGGAGTGAGACTTCCTAGGCACTCAGGGTATGTGTGCACTGAGGCTGCTCTAACAAAATTCCACAGACTGAGTCGCTTAAACTGTAAGAACATGCCTGTGCGTGGAGGTTTACACATCCACAATCCCAGCACTCAGAAGGCAGAAATGGGAAGATCATGAGTTTAAGGCCGACCTGGGCTACATAGTGAGATCCCTGTCAAGGAAAAGAACAGAAAAGGCTTCTATTTTGTCTCTGTTCCAGAGACTGGGAGTTCAGGATCTAGGTTCCAGTAGGGTCAGTGTCTGGCATGGGCTCTCCCTGGGCTCACAGGTGGCTGAAAAATCACTGTGGGCTTACATATCATCCACTGTGTAGGTTGAGATCGGGAAGTGGGACTTACAAGGTCAATAATCCTATTGGATCAGGGCTTTTCCCTCTAACCTTAATTTCTACCCCGTCCCTCTATCCCCCATCAGGGTTTCAAGATATGACAGGAGGCTAAGGAGAGGGAGGAATGACAAAATTTTCTTTCTGACGGGGGATGAAGGGTTTGGAGCCATCAAGAGTAGGCCATTCTCCAGTGTGGATGTTGTAGATACTTTTCCATTGCTCGCCTTAAATTGGAGAATTTTGTCACAGTTGGTTTTCACCTCAAAAGAAAAATGTTAAAGGCTCCTGGGAAGTTAGCACCAATAGGATCCTCAAATGCTGCCTCTGTTGTCCCACCACCCTCCAGAGGTGAACCTAAGAAAGAAGGCGGGATCTGCAGGGAGCTGTGATGGTGAACAGGCCATAATCTGCCTCGTGGCTGGAGTCTGCCTAGGATGGAGACTTTTGCCAGTTGAATATGGCTTTGATTAGGGCTCCTCGGGGCTGACTAAAACCAGGCCATCTCCTCCCAGTCAGCCGCAGGATGACCCAATAGGGTCCGTGTCCCTCTCCAGACAGGAACATGGTTAGCCAGCTCCTGGCCTCACCTACTGCCTCCTCAGCCTGGGACAAGGCAGGAAGTGCACGGGAAGTAGCCCTGCCACCAGAGAAAGCAGTTTCCTGTGGGTCCCTGCGCTTGGCATCACTCTATGGCTCTGGAGCCTTCCTGCTTCCACCCCCTCGGCTTGGGCTCCTGCCAGGGACATTTTGTCCTGCCAGCACACAGCATATGCTCCTAAGCTAAGCAGCCTGCTCCTCCATGCCAGAGCCACACACATGAACACAGTCAACCACACAAGCTCAGGTACAGCTATCCCTGCCGCACGTGTGTGAGTGTGTGTGTATGAGTGTGTGTGTGTGTGTGTGTGTGTGTGTGTGTGTGTGTGTATGCACGCGCCCGCACGCGCACACCCCGTTACTGCTCCACTGGCAAGCACAAGGCACAGCGCTGCTGTTTCTTGCACCCACAGCACAGCTCTAGACATTTGACCCGGTGCACTTTGAAGGTTGGGCAGGGATTTGAGAGCTTGGAAACCCAAGGGGGCAGGTAGGGGACACTTGAGCTATCTGGCAACTTAGGTGCGCTGTCCAGTTTCGATGTCACAAGATGTGTGCACACCGGCGAAGCAGCAGCCTTCGGTTTCTCGCTCTTTCTTCAACCCTCTCGTGTGTGGAAAGGCCATGGAATGTTGGTCGTTCTTGGCTGGAGTACTGCCAAGAGCCTGTGCCGTGGTTTGGCATGCCTCAGACTACACATTGAGATCCAGGTTCCGCTGGCAGTTTTTATTTATCTCTTTCTCATCGGATGCCATCTTCAAATGAGGATTTCGAATAGCTTTTTCCCAAACATTTAAATTTTATTTTTAATTAACATATATTCGTTTAGACATATTGACAGGGCCGATTGCAGTAGTTCCGTACATTTGAAGTACTTTGGAATACTGAGGAGAGGAGGACATAGGCATGGGGCTGAGCCCATCTGAAAGATAGGGGTGACACTCTTCTGCCTGGGTCATACCAGTCCTGCAGGTAGGGCTGAAAGCATTGTCTAGGATGGGAATGGTGCCACTTTGCCCCCAATATCCTTGAACTAACATTCTCAGGTCACCATGCCTGACCCTAGCCAGTTACCCCATGTGCTCTGCTGGCAGCAGGCTTGCCGCCCTGTTGGAAGAGGCTCAACCTCTCCCAGGGCCTTTGCAGACTCCTGTACTTCCAGGACCCTCTGGATATCACACAGCTCCTAGGACAGCACCCTTGCACGTGATGGCGATGGCTTCCTGGCTGTCAATAGGAAGTTAGGATCAGTGTTGAGATCCCATGGGAGTGGCAGGAAGTAATAGTCAAGATTCCTTCTTGCCATGTGACATCCAGTTGTCTCCACATCATCTCCTAACAGCTGCCTAAGGACTAGGGATATGCTCGGTGGTGGAGCCCTCCCCTGATATGTGGGAAGCCCCAGGCTCCTTCCCATAGTGAACTACAGAGCTATGCCCCTGCGGCTCACAAGCCTGCCCTTTCCGTGTGGCTGTGTCTGAGAGCCTTCTGTGTCACTGTAAGCGGATAATGTATGCAGAAAAGAGATCAGTTATGGTTCTGAAGACTGGGAGGTCCAAGATCAAGGGCTAGCACCTACAGAGTGCCTACACACTGCCCTTGCATGTGACAGAAGCCACCACATGTCAACTGCGAGGAAGACGGCCAGCCTAGGGCCCCCAAGCATCTTGTTATGGCCCCAAGAGTCCCCACACTGCCGTGCCATGGATGACGTCTGCTGCACATGGTTTGAGGGGATACCTTCTGCTCACCCGTGACTCATAGAGCTGCCATGACAATTCCACTGTGGAGTGAGGTAGGGGAGCCCAGTCCATGCAGGTCTTCAGGACTGTGCATTCTCCTCACAGGTTCCCAGGTTCCAGACCCACATAGCATGGTCACCCCAGACCCACCTAGTCTTTCTCTGATGGGACCCCCGACAACACTCTTCCTTCTTCCAAACTCTCTGGATATCAGTTGATGGTTTCTCATGCACACTCACCAAGGCCAGGCTAGCGCTGCCACCAGCCAGGTAGGGAACTGGATCCCTAGGACAAATCTGCTGCTAGCTGCTGCCTTGGAACCTGGAAGTGCCATATCCAGTGCTCTGCCCCAGCAGGCTGTCTTCTGGTCAGCTTTTGCCACCAACATTTAACGAATTCCCCAGACAAGCGGGTTTTGCTGGCTGCATGAAAAGTCTGGAGAAGGAGTCGGCCTTAGAATGGCCTTAGGGCTGAAGGGTCCAGATAATGAATTCTGTATCTTGGGGCCTTCAGAAGTCTCCAGGACTCCGGGAGATGCCTTCTGTTTGGAGCATCTCTTTGGAACAGAGGGATGGTACAGTTTAGAGTGTGCACTGTGAGCCCCAGTGAGGTGCACAGTTCAGAATCTGCTAAAGAGAAGCCATGCCTCTGCAGATGGCTGGGAGAATCTTCCCAGTGTGTGGCTGCACCTGGGATGTCCCCGGACCCAAGTGGACCATCTGTGCCTCTCCTGGAGGCCAAGTGACTGAGACCTATGTGCTGGCTGCAAAGGAAGGGCTTTCAGAAACAATTGTGGTTTTCTTCCTTTAGTTACTAGCATATATTTGTCCCCTTGGCAGCAAACCAAAGTGTGGAGGGAGTCAAAGGGTACTGGGAACAGTGATGGCCAGGTGTCAACCCCGCTGCAGCACAAGCTATGGAAAGACCCCCACCCTCTCACACCTCCCCCAAGTCCTTGAGTGCCTCTGGGTTCCAGATATTTCTCCTGCTACTGAGATATTTGCTGCTGTCTTAGATCCAGAAACAAGGCTGGTTTACCTTGGCCTTGGTGACTGAGTCTAGTCTCATTATTCAAGCCCACAATCTTGAATGTTCTATACCTCCACGAGATATGTAGCCTAGAACTACCATCCCTTCTTAGGACCAGCTTTGGACCAGAGTCCTTGCTGCTCTCCCCCATCTTGCAATCTAACAAACCCCTTCCTGTTGCAGATCCCTGGGAGAGGCATGGGCCCAAGTAAAGAAGAGCCTGGCAGACGAGGCTGAAGTTCATCTCAAGTTCTCCGCCAAGGTAACCCTCCTCTCCTTCCAGAGTTAGACCAAAGCATGCTGATAACTGGTTACCAACTCTCTGTAGCTTATATTGCTTGCCATTTTCCATGGCACCAAATCCCTAAATTCAGAGTTTGTAGAAGATACCCTTAGCTCACCTGTAGACACCGTCTCCATTGAACAGACAGCAGCAGAAATGACCGGAAGTGGGCACCAAGAGCACAGATAAAAACATGGTGTGGGTGTTGGGAAAGGATCCCCTTTTCACATATAAGTCTAGGTTTGTGATAACTAATACTTACTATAATGTGAGCTCATTTAATTTCTTTTTTAATCATGGCTAATTTAACAAGCAGCTCACAGCAAGCTCTCAGGAGCCATGGAAGGCAGGATCTCAGGGTCTGTGTGGTAAGAGTGGATGCCTCCTGATTCACTCGGTGAACCCCAGCCTCTCTTTGTTGGTTTCATAGGAATGGATTGAGATGGTAGCCTGCTCTGTGCCTGTAACACTAGGCTATGTCCAAGGGAAGACTTTTAAAAACCGATTTGTTACTGCAGAATTTCTGAACGTCCCCTACTTCCATCTGATCCCAAAGACACTAGGACCAGGACTTTCCGAGTTCAGGCATGAGTCTGTCCTGGTCACGTCACTACGGTCAACACTGAACACCTGTAGGAGACGCTTAATAGCCACCTCCAGAAGAAATGAGTAAACAGAGCAACAGTGGGGGTTGTGACCCCTTTGGGGTTCCAATGACTCTTTGACAGGAGTCGCTAAGACCACCAGAAATCACAGATGTTTACATCACAATTCATAACAGCCCCAAAATTACAGACGTGAAGCAGCAACGAGAGTAGTTTCATGGTGGGGGTCACCACAGCATGAGGAACTGGATTAAAGGGTCACAGCCTTAGGAAGGTTGAGAACCACTGCGCAGGGCTTGCTGGTGATCTCCTCCCGCCCCCAGGCTTTCAGCTCTGTTCTGCCTCAGGATTTCTCCCCATTGAAAGTTGTCTCTTCTTCCTGTCTTATCTCTCCACATTTTCTCTCAGACTCTTGGCTCCTTCTACTTGAGAGGTCACCTGAATGCCTCAGTGAGAATTCACACTAAAGCCTGTGTGACTGACAGGCCTGCCCACTAGCATGCACATGGGAGGCAGAGGCAGGCAGGTCTCTGTGAGTTCGAGGCCAGCCTGGTCTACAAGAGCTAGTTCCAGGACAGGCTCCAAAGCTACAGAGAAACCCTGTCTCAAAAAACCAAAAAAAAGAAAAAAAAGAAAAAAGAAAGAAAGAAAAGAAAGGAAATGATGGTAATGACACCTACCGTCTTGACTGACCCTCTCTTCCCTCTGACTTCCTGCTACCACCCATCAACCACCACAGCCCCAGGTACTATCTGTTCAAGTGTTTGAACACCCAGAGCCTCCATGTTTAAGTTCCAACTTTATCATTTGAAGGTAATATTCTCCAAGACACTGTTCCTTCCCGAAGCGTCCACAGTTGCCGCTAGCTAGCCCGCTCTTTGCAATGCTGTTCCCATTTGTCAGTTCCCTGCATTAAGGTCCTATGCCATGCACACTCTTGAAGGACAGGAATATGTCACTCTACCCAGCCCTCCATCTATCATGTACAATGTACACAGAAGGGGGAATGGCTGAGACCATGGGAGAGCCTTACAGGGGATGGCACTGCTTCTGGCTCCCGGCTTCTGAAGGGGGTGAGTGCCTGAGATGGATCTGATATCCCCATGTGAGTGAAATTTCCCAGCTCATAAGAGCACACTCACTGCATACAGCCAAGCCCTTCCCCAGCACATTGGTATGGGAGCCCCTCCCTCCATGAGGAGGGAGTTCCCTGAATTGCTGCCTTCAGAGCTGCAGATGAAGTGGTGGGTTATTTTTAAGCCATGGTTCATGAGTAGCTTCCCTCCAAGGCCTCCCTCCTCTTGTCCCAGCCCCCAACAGTGCTCTTTTCCCCACAGGAGGTGGGGGCAGAGGCCACCAACAAGAAGCGAATGGGTTCAATCTCCGGCATTACACACAGGAGAAACCCTAACCCAAGCTTGCTCCTGCCCTTGCAGGGAAAGCCAGTGGTGCAGTGCAGGTTGAGTTCCCAAATGCTCAGGCCATTTTAAGCAAGGTTCACAAGCTCACAAATCCCAGAACTAAGGATGGCTCATAGAGAGGGGGCTGCAAACACGAGGCACAAACTTTACGCTATTCTGCTGCTTCTGGCCTGGGTGTGTTGGTGAATCCGGGCTACCCCAGTAGCCTCCTTTCTTAAGAGGAAGGGGACTCTGAGGATTGATTTGTCAGCCTTGAAGAATATGGTTCCTGAGGCACAGACCTATTTGATGTCAGCTCCGAAAGGTTTATTGAAATTCTTCTCCATCCGAATGCTCACTGTCGAGGGTAAAAGCCTTTTAAGAAATGGGATTGCGTACGGCAAGCTCTCCGGCTTCGCCGGTCTCCTAGCTCAAGCCAGTGCTAATAGCAACAGCAATCTCAAGAAATGAGCTCGCTCTATTGGAAGACAGTTAGACCTGGCCCCCGTGAAAGCGGGGAGAATAGACACATTCCTCCTGATGGAAGGAGACCTGGCCATGCAGTAGGGGCACAAGCACAGACAGATCTGCGCTCCGGAGGCTGAACGTGAGCCCAGCACTGCCATGAACAAGCTTGGCGAGCATGGGCGGGTGACTTTCTTCATGTGTGAAATGAAGAGTTCCAACCCCGTCTGTGGCTTTAATCTTCCCTGACTGTGACCACGGGGGGCATTTCACGTGTTCACCGAGTGTATGTGCGTACCCACCCCCATACCCACTCAATGAGGCACACGTATGTAGCCAAAACAGATGTTTCATGACACCCTACTTTTATTCTGCCTAAAATGGAGCCTGATATTTTGCTCCCCAAGTTGGGTCCTATTATCTCAAGAAACCTAGTCCTGACCCGCAAAGTTGATGTCACAAAACTAGTGAGTCACCACTTGGAAATACCTGGACCAGACAGTTGCTGAACGCTCTTCCAGCTCGGAATTCTTCTCTTCGGATGTTTGAAGTGAAAAGAAGGTATTGGGGCAGCCATGCCCCTCCCCCCACGAATCAGCTCCAGTAGCCCAGCCCATCTAGTATAGGCCAGACTGGCCACACATCCCCAGAAACACCTTCGAGAGAGCTCACTAATGCCATGCTTGAAGCAGAGCCTTCAGAGCTAAGAACAAATCCTAAGACACCAAGCCATTGTTTTTTAAAGAAAACCGTTGGTTTTAAGAAGTCCTTAATATATGGGCTGGAGAAATAGCTCAATGAATAAAGCCCTCAATAATGTGCAGTTGTGAGGACCTGAGTTCAAATCCCCCAAACTTGGTGTATGGGGTGAAAACACTGCAGTTCATAGCAATAGCCTTGAATTTCAGCTGAGATGTTTTAGGCCTGTTCGTTTTAGGCCATGGTCGTTGGTGTTGTGTGATGTGAGGGGCCTGCGCAGTGCAAAGTGCCATGCATTTTTAGAGCAAGGCTGCTATGAAGTCACGTGACGTGGACAGCTTAGGTTCATCACACTTTTGAATTTGAATTAACTTTTGGTCGTTGCATGTTCACAAACCTTGCACTGTCTCTAAGTTTGTGGAAGTCCCACTTTCAGTTTTATGTCCCCATTAGGGGGCACAGCCCACAGCTTATGACACTGGGGGTTAAGATAAGAACCCTCAAGTGTTGGGTGATCTCTGGAAAAAAGACCATGTCACAACAAACTAAGCTGGAGGAGAGAAGAAAGGTTACAGAACCTCAGATCTGGGAGTCATCTGTTTAGGAGACAGTGCTGGCTAGCCACAGACACTGATGGGACATGTGGGTCATGTTGAGGGTCTCCAAGGGAAAGGCGTGGTGGAGTTATAGAGGGCTGAGTCTGGGCAGGGCTGGCAAGCTCCTGGTTGGGTATAGGTTGTGTAAAGAATATGGGAGAGTACTAGGCTGCCCTCTTGTCTGAGCAGATCCTCGTTCTTGCAAAAATAAACACGGCTTGCTTACCATCAAAACAAATATCTTAAAAGAAATCTCAAGAGAGTGTTATGCGTGGTGGGGAAGGGGAGGGTGATTTAAAACTAGGTGCCACCAGTTCTCACTGCAGAGGACTCTTTCTCAGGTCCTCAGAAGGAACACGAGGACAGTTGACCAGGGTTGGGACAGGAAGTGCACCTGCTCCCTTTAGTACCGCTCAGGACAGTTGTCCTTGCGAGCTCCCGAAGGACCTCCTGGACAGCCCCTGCCACAGTTTTCTGGAGGTTTGAGCAGGCCCGGGTCATCTTTGTACCCCAGGCCTGCAGCAGATGGGCAACAAATAGAAATGACCCCAGATCACCTGAGTCATGGGCAGCCTTGCCAGTTATCTCACACAGCAGTCACAGGCAGGTGGCATGGTCTAGCCCCCAAAGGGTCCCAGTTTGAAAAGGGCAAGAGAAGAGGACATGCCAACAAAGCTATACTAGACAGCTACATATCATGAAACACAGGTGAGGGTACCCATGCGAGGGTTCCTTCGTGTGACTTCGTCACTGCACGACCTTCTTATTTCAAGCCACCAAGTGTTAAAGATGAAACTTCAGAAAGAGAAGAAGCTTCCATATAGTCAAGAAAAGGCAGCAGTGAGCTAAATGGGAGAACTGGAAAATCCTGGGCTCCCCTCTCAGCACATAGCTATGCCATCTGGGAGCTAAAGGGGCAATGCAAACAGCTGATAAAGATGCCCATCTCTTTAGCCTTCTCTGCATGGTCTAGCCATCCAGGTCACTGCCCCAGGGCCTGGCTTCTCCCACCCTGCCCAGCTAATGCCTTGGTACTGAGCCCGCCCTCTCTGCCTTCCTCCACAGCTCCACAGCGAGGTGGAGAAACCACTCATGAATTTCCGCGAGAACTTCAAGAAGGACATGAAAAAGTGTGACCACCACATCGCTGACCTCCGCAAGCAGCTGGCCAGCCGCTACGCCTCAGTGGAGAAGGTGAGAGGCCAGGGTACCTGGTAAACCGCTGGGGACCTCTAGGACAGAAGCCAGCTGTGGGTGTCCCTGCAGGAACTTCTGTCCTTGATGCTGGAGTGGTGAGGAGAGTCCAAGGAACCCCTAGCTCTCCATACAGCAGGCACGACTTGCTACCCCAGGATACTCGGATGACTCTCCCAAGGGCAAGTGGGAGCAAGGAGAAGCTGTGGGTGAAGTGGAAGTGGTGATGGCCACATGGGGCAAGTCAGCCCGTTTCCATGGGCACCAAGTCAGATGGGCCACAGCTACTTTACATGGCTCCTGTGTCTCGGCCTCACCTCCTGGTGTTCCCTGAATTAATCTCCCCTCCCAGATGTGCAAAGAATCACCTTCCTGTGGGTGGCCATATTATGGGAGGCAGGGCTGCTGGTGGCCAGCCCTGGAGGAATAGACATCTCCCCAGTGGCCTGAGTGTCCTATAGAACAGGAGTAGCAAATCATGGCAGGTACCCAAGACGTGGCTCCACCTCCACCAAAGGCTGAGTGAGGATGATGGTGGTGGTGGTGGTGGTGCTGATGAGGATGATGATGGTGGTGGTGGTGAGGAGGAGGAGGAGGAGGAGGAAGAGGAGGATGGTGGTGATGAAGATGATGATGATTTTAGATTTATTAATTATATGTGTTTATTTGTATGAGTGTTCTTCTCAAATGTGTGTTTGTGCACCACCTGCTTGCCTGGTGCCCTTGGAAGTTAGAAGAAGGCATTGAATCCCCTGGAACTATGGTTAGGGGATGATGGTGAAGCCACCAAGAGGGTGCTAGGAATCAATGCCTGGGTCAGCTGCAAGAACAGGTGTCCTTAACTGCTGAGCCATCTCTCCAGCTCAGAGCCAGTGGTTTTAGAATCACAGTATAAGCACAGGCTCTGGAGGGAACACGTTCAGGACTGACAAGCCACATGCAGACATGGCTGGAAGACGACAGGTCAAGAAAAAACCCAGCTAGGAGTCAGCCCCCTGGCTCCTCTGTGCCGGGGTACCATCATTCATATGAGCAGAGAGGATGGGCATAGGTAGGCGGGTGGTGAACCCTGAAGCCTTGCTGCAGCTTTATGAACAGCCTCTCTGGGCTTGGCTACCCCTTCCCACAGGCCCGCAAAGCCCTCACAGAGCGGCAGAAGGACCTGGAGATGAAGACCCAGCAGCTGGAGATCAAGTTGAGCAACAAGACTGAGGAGGACATCAAGAAGGCGCGGCGGAAGTCCACTCAGGCTGGTGAGCCCAGTAGTGTCCTAGCAATACCAGGGCAGAGGGAAGGGACAGGTCTTCCGGTCAGGCTCCCGTTCCAGGGGCATGGTCCTTTCCACTTCCCATCTTCCCCCTTGAAGTGTCCCTTGTGCCTCCTCCCTGCCCCATGTCCAAGAATCTCAAGGAAAGAGGAAGGAAGCAGATAAGCAGTGAGGGCTGTCTAGCTCATGCTGTCCCTTCCATGGCCTTTGGGTGGGTCCAGATGTGGGTCCAGAGATAGATTCCTCCATGCACCAAGAGCTCAGGGCACTGTCCCTGTTTGAAGAGTACAACCTTCATCTATCCAAGATGCTCCACTTCCCCCAGGAAGTTAGTTATACTGTGGAAGTGAATTCCTGCCCTGAGGACAGAGGCCAGCATTCAGTTTTAAAGGCATCCTTATTTCAGAATTTGCCCATATTGCTCCAGTGAGCGGGTTTCTGCTGCCACCTAGTGGTGGCAATTGGCTGCTGCACAAGGCAAGAAAATAAAGGCTCTTAAGAGACGAGAAAACAACTTTCTCAAAGATGCCGAGTCTTCCCCATGCAAGGATAGCTTTAGATAATATCCTTCTTCTTGATTTGTGATGAACCTGCTACAATTTGTGTCATTCTAGAATGAAGTAGCCACCTTAGGTGCTATGAAATAAAGTGGGATAGAAATAAGTTGGCAAAAATTAGATACACATCCTGGGTCCAGAAACATTTTCTTAAATTCCTGACATGTTTATTGTAAATGGAGAGAGGACCCAAAGAGGGAGAACATATATTCAAATTAATTCATTAACTTACAAAACAAAGCTATACAGAAACAGCAGGATATTTTCATCCGTGCTCAAGAGTGTGTTATTCACCAGAAATAATCCCCAAATCACTCTCTGAATTCATATAAACTGAATCATGCTATATTCTATCTTTGATCTTGTTTTTCAATTAATGTGTCTTAGAAATAGCCCCTATCTCATTCCCGCCAAACCTCTTTATACATCTAGTCATGCACATCGGACACTTTTATTTTTATTGCTATATTTTATTGTGGAGCCAATGAGAGAACGTGAGGCCTTACACATACTAGGCAAGTATTCCCACCCGGCTGAAGCCCCAGGCCCCAGGATTGTATCCAAATATCCGTAGGACTTAGAGAATGTTTCTGAGTGCTCGCCCAGGACCAGAGATACTGTGTTTGTTAGTGGGACTGTAACTCTCTGCATATGGAAGACCAGGTCCTCATGGACGGAATGAAGATGCTGGGTCAGAAGGTTTGATTCATTTTGACAGATATTTCCAGATTGCTTTCCAGAGAGGGCTCCACAGTTAATACCTGTGAATACCTCTTCCTCAAATTCTTGTCCACACTGCCTAGTAACAAACTTGAAATCACCGGTGTGCTGGTATATATATATATACATACATACATACATGTATACATACATATATATATGGTAAATATATATATATATTACTATTACCTTGTAATTCTCTCTATAAAAGGGTTGAGCATTCTGAAAATACACTTACTATTTTTATAGCTCCCCCAACCTCCTGCCCCAGAAACTCAAATCCTTGTTGAATGCTGTGTGTCATTCTTAGTGACTGATTGACAGGTCGGGTGTGTGTTAAGGGGAGTCACTCCTGGTCATCCCAGCTGCAAATATTTTCCTATGGTTATCGCTTGTCTTTTACTTTTGTTCTTTAAAGAAAAAAAATAAAGTTTTGTGCTTGGGTTTTGTTGTTTTGTTTTGTTTTTTGTTTTGATGTTTTTTGGGGGGGTTTGTTTGTTTGCTTGCTTGCTTTTGTTTTTTCCTTGCCTGATTTCTTCTGCCAGGTCTCTGTACAGTGGCCTTCTCTCTGCCAGGTCTGGGTTTGAGGAGGATTGACTTGGGGAGGCCTCCACCTGGAAGGAAGCAATGATATTTCTTCCCTTCTATTTCTTTTCTTCTCCTCCCCCATCTCTCACAATGCTCCTGGGAGGAAGAGTGTCTGGATCTGGGGGCAGGCGGGGGCTCTGACTTCAAGTCATCATCTCTGCCATGAGGAGTATCTTGTTGTCTGTCTAGTCCCTATTCCAAGCATGTTGCACAATCAGCTCTTCTTCAAGATGACTTTTGTTGTTGTTGTTGTTGTTTTGTTTTGTTTTTTTGAGATAGTACTTCTCTATTTAGCCTTGGCTGTCCCGGACCTCACTCTGTAGACCAGGCTGGCCTTGAACTCATAGAGAGCCACTGCCTCTGCCTCCCACTTGGCAGAGATGGGACTAAGAGCATGGGCCACCGTTGCCCAGCCACAATGACTCTTTAAAGTTGCAACTGTCATACCTGTTTCATGGTGAGGCAACTGAGGCATGGGCTGCTTAGTTGGTACACCCAGAGTCATGCAGCCTCCTTGGTGGAGCGAAGCAGCCCTGGCATTCCAGTTCCAGGACCCACTCTCTGAGGAAGGGCCCAGTCTCCATCTCCTGGGCTGCCATGGAAAGGAAGCAGCCTTCCCCACACCACTCTCAGGTGCTGCAGATCTTCCTGAAACGTGTTCTCAGAATCAGGACGGACATGTAGGGCACCAGGAGCCTCACAGTGAGTGTTCATAGGGCAGCATGCTGCACCCACCCTGAAGCAGGGGACATCATGGAGGCAATTCAATTCAAGGAGTGAGATGCATCTATGCGCTTCCCTCTGACTAATTCTCCTTGAACCAAGGGGTAGCCATTGATTTTGGCCAGGAACGAAATGAAGAAAGCACTTAGCACAGCTGTTCTCCAAAGCACAGGACTCATGGTTTATCTGTGGTCAGGGCCTAAGGATACAGAGCTGGTCTGGACTTAATATGGACAAGCCTCTTCGTTTTTTTCCCACTTTCCCACCAGAAGGCACATGAGTAAGAGTTGTGTCAAAGGAATGACTCTGAATCCATTCAGATGGCTGCATTCAGCTCTGAGAATTCCTAGAATTGCTTGTTGATGTATTAAAGTGAGTCACTCGGCTCTGGGGTTGACTCATAAGCTTCTCCCAGCATGAGCAGAGCCCATGCTGCTCCGTTCTCACCAGAGCCTCATTTACACAGAGCCGTGCAGTCCGTGTCTGCTCCTCTGACATGTTCCTCACCATAGGTCTGGGGGGAACTTGGCTTCTGGTTCAGCAGGTCTAGGGCCACATCCTGACGGCCTGCACTTGTCACCAGTTCCCAGGGTCACTTGATGCCGTTGGTGCACCAACTGAGATTTGCGTAGCAAGGGTCTTGGGTGCCGGCATCCTTACTAATATTTTGTGGTTACCTCAGAGTTCTAGTCTAATTTTTTAAAAAGTTTGAGATACAGATGTGATTCCAGAAAGTAGTATGTTAGCCGTGGAGCTGTAGTGGTTGTGTGTTTAGATTGCTGTTATAAAATGGAAGGTTGCCAAGTGCTGAGATTACAGATGTGTACCTTGGCACCCAGGGTCACGTGTGGTCTCTTCCTGAGAACCTGAGCTTCTGGGGTCTGCAGTTGAGTTCAGATAACACTCTGTGACATGTCCCTGGGGTTTGTCCCCTTCTGTCATCCTCTCCCTTCTCTTCTTCCCCCTTCATTCCCTGACTTTGCAATGACCGCTGAGACTCTGGGAGAGGAACAGGCACGACCGTGGGCACAGGAAGATAAGGGCATCCACAGTGGAGACAGGCTGACATGTAACAGGGCTTGATGGTGGCTGTTGGCTTTTCCCAGGAGATGACCTCATGCGCTGTGTGGACCTCTACAACCAGGCCCAGTCCAAGTGGTTTGAAGAGATGGTGACCACCACACTGGTATGTGACCAGAGATGTGTGAGCAAACTGTAAAGAGGCTGATGGAGTATGTGCAAGCAGCCCCGGGCAGGGGACAATGGGCATGGGAGGATGGAGGGGTGCTCACAGCAGAGATGGTCATTAGATCTCTATCAGCATTGGAGTCCAGCCCTCAATCTAATATCCACCCATGAATCCAAACTCCTGCTCCAGCACTCCCTGCTCTATGAACTCAGCAAGGGCCTGGTCTTGCTCAGTTCTCCTTTGTCTGTTCACTGAGGTGTCAGGAGCCACCAGGAACTTCCTCATCTCAGTGAACCATGGCCCTACTATGATAGACAGAAAAGCAATGGAAAGCCGACACTCTCTCCCCAATGAACACACGCACATGCACGTGCACGCACACACACAGACATAAACACACATACACACAGACACACACACACTCAGAACTTCAGGTAATTGACACATGAATGGGAAGACCGGGGAGCTCTAGAGAGGCTGTGAAGGAAAACCATGGTGGCCGACGGTGCATGCTATCCTATATATTCCTTTTAAAGGATCAATTATCTCTCACTGTTGGCCAGACCTGCCTGGGCAGGACAGTAGTGAGTGACTGGTACTTGGAACAAGTGGGAGAAGGGGACAACATCATGCCCATTGTACAATCTATCATCCCAGTGTCCAATGTCACCCTTGCCGTCCCCTAACCAGCTACCTTCTCCAGGTGCTAGCCCACCTAGGAAGATTACCAGCCTCCTTCAGGGTCAGTGCCCTGCTTCTCCTCTCCTCCGTTAATCCCCTAATTAAGCCCCCTTCTTTACCTCCCTTCCAGGTTAATCACCTGGGCAGTGACCTAGTTCCCCACAGAAAAACAGCCTAATCCCCTAGAGTCACGGAACCAGCTAGAAACCAACAACAAGCCTCTCTGCTCTTCTCTGACAACGGTTGCCCCATTTCCCAGCCTGCTTTGCTCCCTACCTGGTCTTCCTTGACCCTCGACACTGGGAGTGGGTAGAAGCCAGAGAGCTTGAGAGACTGAGAGCACCACACACACTCCTGCACTCCACCCATCAGCTGGAGAACAAACACCACAAATTCCCCCCTTAAATGCTGCTCTTCCTCTAACTCCATGACACTTTGGGCCAAGGGGACAATCGTAGAACCACTCTTTGAGTCCCAGTGAGGACATTCAGACACTGCAGGTGCAGAATTCCATACTGAACTGGCAGAGACACTCCTATGACCTTCTTCTTCCCCCTAGAGATTGACTCCTTCTTCCTCAGCATCCAGAGGGTCAGATGGGCTGGGGATGCACAGCCAGGACTTTGTATATAGAATACTTGGTGGCATGACACCTGCCTGGTGGGACGGTCCCTGAGTTAAAAACGGGCTCAGGAGCCTCTGGTCTTTTCTTCTTCCTCTGCAGGAGCTGGAGCGGCTGGAGGTGGAGAGGGTGGAGATGATCCGACAACATCTGTGTCAGTACACACAGCTGCGCCATGAGACAGACATGTTTAACCAAAGCGTGAGTGCCCCATCTATGCGTTAAGACTAGCAGGACAGACATGGCATGATTGCCCCAGAGGCTCACATGATTCATGCCTAGTACAAGAGGCAGCTTCTCCTGACTTAGGCTGGATCTGGCTAGGCCTTGAATGTATGTTTTTCCTGCCTCAGTTTCCCAGTGCTAGTCTCACAGGCATGTACTTCATCCAACTTTACAATGGCTAAAGTAACTAAAGACCTTTGACCTCCATGTGAATTTGCTTTAGAAAACAAACCAAATACACAGCTTCTAAAACAGTGCCCGAAGGCAGGTCTGTTACCCAAGGGAAGACAGATGGAGGAAGAGGTCCCCTTTAAGACAGCCTGCCCTCTTCTCCAGGCCTGGGGTCTGCAGGCGAGCTCCGCCTCTCACAGTGCTCTGCATCCTCAAACCACCTTCTGGAAGGGCCTGGAACCTTCTAGAAGGGCTGCTCTGAGGTGGCTCTCCAACTGCAGCAGCGTGGGAGGCAGGAGACATCCCAGTCCAGCTACCACCTCTGACAGTGACCCCTCCTCTGTGTCCCTTGCAGACAGTCGAGCCCGTGGACCAACTGCTGCGAAAAGTGGACCCAGCCAAAGACAGGGAGCTCTGGGTCCGAGAGCACAAAACAGGCAATATTCGCCCAGTGGACATGGAAATCTAGACCTGCCTGTGTGGTCCTGGGGGTTCTGCTGAGGAGAGGGGCGGGGGGTCCCATGGAGAAGGGGTGGATCTGCCCTATTACCTGCTGACCTATCCACAGAGAAGGAAAAAAAGAGCCGGTGATGCCAGAAAGAGGGCCTAGCCATGGGCTCCCCAATATTCCTAGGCCATAAAGGTGGACTCACAGCCCTGACTCCATCTTGAAGATTGAAGCCTCCCCTCCAACTCCCACGCTGTGCTTGTCCCTCTGAGAACAAACTGAGGCTAGAGCCCTGGGATCTCCCTGCTGAGTTCCAATGGGGTGGCCATCACATGGCTGTGCCCCAGGTATCCAGGGCATGTCCCTCCAGCTGACTTCTCATCTCCAGGGCAACAAGAAGAGGAAGAGAGGGAGGTCTCTGTCCCTAAACAATGTCAGGACCGGAATCAAGGATAGGAGGCACAGAATAGCTCACAGCCCACACCCACAACGTTTTCACCCCTCCCTACTTTTCCCCATTACATTCCAAGAGCCCGTACCTATTTTTTTCATCCCCCACACAGGACGGGGTGGGGGTATCTTCTCAACCCAACTCTGGAGAGGTCAGGACAGAACTACCTCAGTTGGCACCCCCAGATCATGGCTCCCATCAGTTTCCGATCAGACATTGGCTGTAAAGTCTACCACGGAAGACTCAACCTGCCCTCCCTTTCAGCCTCTTTCTCAAGGAAGAAGCTCCCCACTCTCACCCTGACACCCCTTACCAGACTCAACAGAAAATGTTTCCAAAGTCCTCAGATAGCTGTGTGCATGTCCAAAGGCTTTGTGGGTGGGGTCTCAGAAAAATCTAATCTGCAACATGCCCACTGCCCCTCAACACTATGACAACCTTGTCCTGAGCTCTCCCAGGCTGCTGACCACATAACCAGGTCCTGTTGGGATGGCAGTCAGGGTCAGCCTAGGCTATTCTCTGATGGGTCCAGCTGTATGTACATGATGGTGTAGGAACTGATGTCCTCCTTACTGATGCTAGACAGCAGTGCAGACTCCGAGGCTGTAGGTGATTGCCACTAGGAGAAGGAACTTTGGGAAGTCACATAGTGAGCAGAGGGCCAGATTCTAGCTGGGAACTTGTCCCTGGGAGGTCATCCTTCTTCATTTTTCCCACAGGCGACTTAATATTTGACTTGTCTGTCTCCCCCAAGGGAAGAATCCTCTGAGCACAGCTCGCATCGTTTAGTCTTTCGTGCTAAAAGCAGACAATTGACTAAACTCGACCCTTTTTGGCACCTCATCTACAGAACCTCTCATGTTTCTTAGAAGGGTGCCTAATACATTAAAACAAACTAAGCATCGTCACTTTTCTTACTGAAATATCTCAACCATAAAGGCCATCATGAGGACTTTTCACCAAAAGTCTCTGTATTCCAGAACTCGGCATGAACCATGACACCAGCTGTCAATATTCGGATATTATTTCCTCGTTTCTGTATTAAAAATGGGTGCTGTGGTTTGGCAACCTAATTTGTGAGTGATGGTCAAATTCCAAGTCTTGTCATACACAGGGGTTTTGGGTACCACAATGTGGCTCATGACTTTGTTCCCTTACCCCCAACCAGAGGGTTCAAAGTTGTCACTTCCTTCAACATAACCCCAGTTGGCTGATGTGAGCCAATTTATTCTGAGGCCATTCCTTCTCCATGGCCACCTCACCTCCATTTTAGTCTATCCGCATATAGACTTTCTCCTATTGTTCATTCAGGAAGCGTTTTGTTATAGACAAGCAATGTGTCATCAATCTGAGGACAGGCTACAGCTCTGTCATCCAAACATCCTCAGACCTGCGTTATGTAGACACCCCTCTTCCCGAGATAATGTCGGCTCTCCTTCTCTGCCCATTTGAGTTCTCGAAGGTACTGGCTGTGTGGTGGTTTTTCTGAATCTGTTCGTTTTGCACACTCGTTTTCTCAGCGAATGCTTGGAACTAACTGGGTGCTGAGTGCTGGAACTAGTCTGTGTCTAAAAGGACACTGTCCATCCACAAGTGGACAGGTGTGTTTAGACCCTTCTGGAGAGAAGGTACAATCCCACTTTGCCCTGGGATCTTAAAGTATTAACGCTACTAGGTCTTAACCCAGCAGCAAGACTTGAGTCTCGTCACTACCGAACTCTCAGCTCATACCTAGCTCCAATTTCAGAAACAGTTTTGGTTGCTTTTCAGTACCTTCCCCTGTACTACAAATAGAAAGAGCGAGAACATGGAGGACGAGGGTGCCAGGAAATGACACCCAGAACTATGAGTCAAGTGTCCAGCCACCTTGTGGGTGAAATTAAGATGCTGATGGTGTCTGAAAACCGAAAGTGCATATCCGAGGTTGAGTGTTCAAGCTGTCGTTGGGGTCCTTGTTCTGTTTGCGGTACTGGGGACCCAACCCAGAGTCACGTGTGTCTAAGCCAGTGCGCCCCCACTTAGCTACACCCAGCCCTGTTATCTTGCTTTTGTGAACATGTCAGTGCTTAGGTTCTGAGAGGCTTTGGCTGGGTTTGTTCAGGGTGAGCCAGCATCCATTGTCCAGGCTGCGAGCTGCACAGCCCTTTCTACCTGCCCTTGCTCGGGAGTGCCAGTGCACTTACGCTTTGTCTGCAAATGCCTGATTTTTTAAAAAAAAAAATCTCTAAAATGAATGATGTTAAAAAAAAATGGTTTAGTTGCCATGGCAACCTCCAGGAAGAGACACTTGTTACCCTTCATTATTTTCTAGTACTTTTGAACAGTCCCACAGTGCACAGGCCATTTGAAGGATGTGGAGAGCAGCCCAGAGCTGTCTCTGGGACTGCTGTGGGGGCCACCTTTCTACCTCCACACGAGACCCTGCTGTCTCGGGAGGATCTCCACAGTGGTTGGTTAATAGCTGAAACAAAGTATCCAAATTCATGGCGGGATTGTGTCGATTCCCTCTGGGAAATCCAGCCAATTACCACAGTAATGGACGGGTGTGTGAGACTCTTGGCTAAGCCAAAGTCCTTTCATGGAAACACAAGCCATAAAAGTCAAAAGGTGTCAAAAGATTTGGCTTGTTGGAGGGCTTGCTCCCAGCTGTGGGTAGCCTTGACAGGAACTTGAGCAGGAGTCTGAAGAAGCTAGGGAAGGCATTGTACAGACACAGAGTAAGAAAGCAGGTCAACTGCCCGATGGCTTAGTGTGGAGACCCCCTCACCCCATAGTTGTCCACACTCTGAAAAGTACCCTTCCACCCCCCTTCTCAAGGTAACCAAGGTGTGATTAAAATACAGTAAAATCTATCCTTTAAAGGAACGCAGTTCTTTGAACCTTCACACGGATGATCTTGTCAACCAACCAAGACTGGCATGACTTCATGTCAGTTCCCTTTGCCTGCCCCTGACCTAGCAACCAAATCGATGCTCTGTCCCTTTAGTTTTGCCTTTTCCTACAATGCCATTGTCATTGGAGTGACACGGATACAACCTTCTGAGTCAGCCACCATGTCGTGTGTGTCAGTAGAGGGTCCCCTTTCACTGCTGAGTGGTACTCCATCCCATGGGTGGACCCCAGGGTTCCCTTAGTTTTAAAGTGAGGTTTTTATGCCCTGGAAGTCATAGCCCCAGATCTCCTGTTTGTTTGACTGATTCCAAACGTTGCTTCCTACATTCCAGAGACTCCTTCCCCAGACCCCCAGCTGTGCCCTTGGCTGGTTCTGTTGCTGCACTCACTTGGTTGGTGATTCTAGTTTTGGGTCAGTACGGAAAGCAGAAAGGGGTAGCAACAGAATGTCACTCTCTCCACTGCAGCAGCGGACTATCTCTCCATGCAGGAAAATCCTCTCCTGCAGGGGGCTGTCACCTTAGTCGTCAGGGCCTGGCGTTTATTGAGTAATGACTCTTGGGCACAGCTTGAGCCTTTCCTGAATCTGATGTATCACCTGCCAACTGAGGGTGCTTGTCCTAGGATCTCTCTGAAGCCTTTAGATCCAGTGTTCTCCCCCATCCCCTCACGGCCTGTTTGTACCCTATGCATGTGGTCATGTGTAACCTGGCGTCATCTGCACAGCTGTGGCCAGAATCCTCATGATGGACACTTTTCTAGGTAAAGCCAAATGGAACTGAATCATGTCACTAGCTGAGAAGTACTTAGTTCAAACCCTCAAAGAAACTGTAAGTCAGTACCAGTACCTTCTGGGTCTGTCCACAGGAGCTAGGATGGCTATAAAGACGGGGCCAACTGATCAAGTCCTTGTGTCTTTGACTTGCCAGCACTCACACAGACTAGCTCAAGCCTACACCTTACAACCAATAGAGACAGGACCTAGCCCAGCTGAGGTCAGGCCAGGCTGTGGGTGGAACCCCTTGGCGCCTACTCCTCCAAGCTGTCTTAGTGAGGTACTACCGAGTGAAAGGTAGATCCTAGAAGGCTCTTGTGAAGCTCCAGGTAAACTAAGGCATTCCTAGACTCAGATGAGGGTCAGAGCTGGGAAATCAGAACCCAAGGATCTCATATGAGAGGCAAAGCTGCTAAGACCCCCGGAGGAAGGGACTCGTCCAACCCCTCAATTGCTAGTTAATTGTTTCTGCGGGAAAGTTCCTGCGGTAAGGGACCTGCTCCTCAGGGGACAGGCTCCAACAGGGGCTCAAGATCAAGGCTCCACTGTCCTAACCTTCTAGTGCTGAGTGGTGACTCTTGGGGACAGAACTATGGAGGCTTGGGCTGGGGGAGTGGGGATGGCCTTTAGACACTTCCTGGGTGATATTGGAAATGAGGCCCCTTTGTATCTGAGGGGAGCTCCCAACAGGACTTCAATGGTAGAATGTGAAGGGCCAGAGTCACAGGGTGATACTGGGACAGAAAGAGAGAGCTGGGCCTGGCTCTGCCGTGCTTCCCAGTCTGACCCGCACCCTGAGGTCATACCCTGTCGGGACTTCTATGTGCTCATCTGTCCCTCCCTACAGCTTCCTCAGCAGACAGGTTCTTGGACCCAGGCACCAACATTCCAAGGGACACCAGCCAACCTGGGTGAGGGCCCAATTCTGTATGTCCCTCCCCTTCCCCGGGGAACAAGATGTCCAGTGGCATCCCATTGCAACCCGAGCACATCAGCAAACCCCAAGAACATGGAATTTTCTAACAAAATAAACTTGCTTGTTTGGTCTGTTTTCTGTAACTTTTGCTAAATACTTTATACATTTTTAATGTTGAAAAGCTGTGTCTCCTGCCAGCATTCCTCGCCCGGGATGAATGTGTTTATTCCGCGCTGTATATCTCTCCATGCTCTGGCTGCCTAGACCAGTAAGTAAAATGGATGTAATATAAGTTGTAAGTAACACTGTCAAAACCCTGATCCCAATGGAGGCCGTCCGCCTTCCCCACCCTGTAATCGCATCTGTGTGTATTAATTCTGAAGAATTAAATGTTTAAATTAGAGTTTAAACCTTGAAGGTGTTTGCTATGTAATTGACCCACGCTATTCCAAAGTGTTTTCAGGAAATCCAGTGCCATCCTTCCCTCACCCCCCTCCTTCGGGTCTGTATATACTTGAGATGCTTAGGTTTGTCCCATGAAAAATAAACTCTGCAGAGTCGATGGGTCCCATAGAGACCCTCTTTCCTAGAAAGCCGCTTGCTTTCCTTCCCACACACAGTCTCAGCATTCCTCCTGGACTCGAGACACCGGTGATGGTTTCAGTTCTGATGACTTAGCTGACAGACAAAGGACCCCAGGACCTGGATGCCCAGATGGGCACAGCATTACTGGTTTCAGCCTTGTACATCCCACTCCTCGACTTCCGGCTTCCCTTCCTCCTTTGGGGTTGCTGCTGTTGTTTCTTTACTCATTCATCCATTCGTGGATTCAGCGAATACTGAGCATGCATTTCCTGTCACTCTCCTCTCTGAGTGCTGGGATTACCTCGGTGAATGGAACAAACAGCTCTGCCTTCATGCTTGCTGGATAACAGGACCCGAGAGAAAAAGCCCAGAGAGCTGCTTAAGGGCACGGCTCTGAGCAAACTGCAGAACACAAAGTGTGGAGGGACCAGGATGGCAAGGCTGCGTGTTATACCACCGTGACTGGAGTGGCCCTGGAGAGAGGGTCTCAACTAATTAGGCACAGGCAGACAAGGGAGGGAGCCTGACGAATGCCAAGGAAGAAAGTTCTAGATTAGTGGTTCTCAGCCGGTGGGTTGCAACCCCTGTGGGGGTTGAAAGACCCTTTCAATATCCTGCATATCAGATTTTTTTTTGTTTGTTTTTTCGAGACAGGGTTTCTCTGTGGTTTTTTGGGGGCCTGTCCTGGAACTAGCTCTCGTAGATCAGGCTGGTCTCAAACTCACAGAGATCCACCTGCCTCTGTCTCCCAAGTGCTGGGATTAAAGGTGTGCGCCACCACTGCCCGGCTCATATCAGATATTTATTTTGCAATTCATAACAGTAGCAAAATTATAATTATGAAGTAGCAATGAAATAATTTTATGGTTGGGGGTCACCAAGACATGAGGAGCTGTATTAAAGGACTGTAGCATTTGGAAGGTTGAGAACCACTGTTTTAGATCAAGAGAAAGCCATGCTAAATGTTTGAGACCAGTGCGGCTGGAGCACAGGAGAAAGTTGGGAGAATCCACTCAGGGAAATGGTAGCAGGATGGGGCAGGGAAGGTCTACAGAGTGGCACTAGCTGCTATAAACCTTTGATGTTTACTCTAGAAGATGAAGGCATCTTCACGGCATGTCGCTGCCCACAGGGGGTGTTGGCCATAGGTAAGTTTAGGAGGGCAGTCCGTGTCTACCTGGGTGTTCTTTGGAGGTAAAGCCAATACCTTAGCAGGTGGGGAAGTTCTGAGGTGACTCTGAGAATCTGGGTCTAGGAAGGAGGGACAAGCAGCCCTTTCCCACACTGAGGATGACTGGGCTTGAGAGCCCTGACCAGGCTGAATCCCCCACTGCTTCCATTCCCCCTTCCCCTGCCAATACAGACTGTATGAAGCCCAAACTCCAGGCCAGGGAGTGGCAGAGTTCACCTTGTCCTTAGCTCAGAGCAGGAGACCTGGAGGAGTGTGTGCTGAGGGCTGGGGTCCGAGCTCATAAACTGCTGAGCTTTGCCTAAGGATGAGATGCAGAGGTGGCCTCTAGGGACCTCAGGCTGCTTGGTCCAGGCAAGGCCAAAGGGAATGACATAAATGGCCTTCTCCCTTGCAGGACACCCATTGGTCTTTCTTCGGGGCAGGGAGCAAGTTTATGGGCCCAGCTCAGACTTAACAAATCGGTTCTCAGTACATCATCTCCAGCAAACTTGTTTGGCCAAGGAGCACGAGTGCAGCCTCTGACAGAAGATGTTTATGCAGGTTTTCAAACAAACCTCTGGGTCACGACCCTTCACTCTCCCCAGCATCAACACAGCTGCCCCATGTCCTTCCAGGGATCCCCTCCTGCAGGGGGTGCCTCCAGGGCACAGCAATCTGAAGACTGGAGACTGGACCCAGCTGCATCCCACCTGCTTCCTCCCCAACAGAAAAGCCCAGGTCTCCGTTAAAGCCTCCCAACCCAGTTGGAGATCATTTGGGACTCTTCACTGTCAGCTCTTCCATCGCCATGGCAACCTCAGATCCTCACCTAGGGAAAGGGAGAGTCAGGCCTCTGAAGTCAGCCTCTCTGAGAGCAAGCGAGCAAGGGAGCAAGCGGAATAGAGGGAGGAGGAGGGGAGCAGGCTGTTGTGATACACACAGCTTAGAATTGGCAGATCGGGGGCTGTTTCAGACACTGCCACTCAGGAGCAGTATAAGCCATGGCCGGAAACAGTCTTTGGAGCCACTGCTTTTAACTTGTGACCTGGTGGCCTTGCTTCAGAGGCCAGCTTCCTAAAGACAGCCTGACGCCCCGAAGGTACTTTAAAATATATGTATTATTGGTGTGCATGCACACATGTGTGCATGTGTAGAGGTCAGAAGACAGTGGACTCTCCCTCTCTGGTGTGGGTTTTGTGGGTCAAATTCGCTGTCAGGTGTCAGGCCTACAGGGCAAAGGCTTTCACAGTGGCACCTCTGTCCAGTTCACCTGGAGGCACTTCTAACCAGCTCTCAGAAAGGACTCAGTTTCCCCTTCCCTCAGGGCGGTGTTAGGCTGCACTGCTATTGCGCAATTGCACAGGCTTTCAGAGTTCTGCCTGGGTTTTCGAGGTAACTGGCCCAAAAGTGGTATTGCTGGATCTTAAGGTAGATTGATTCCTAATTTTTTGAGAAATCACCATACTCATTCCCATATCAGCTGTTCAAGTTTTACTCCCACCAGCAATGGATAAGTGTTCCCCTTATTCTACATCCTCTCCAGCATGAACTGTCTTCGGTGTTTTTGATCTTAGCCATTCTAATTGATGTAAGACGGTATCTCAGAGTTGTTTTGATTTGTTTGTGAGCAAGGGCAGGAAGAGTGCAGGAGAGAAAGAACTCCCTCTCCAAAGTTGTGGGAAAAGATCTCTCTCTCTCTCTCTCTCTCTCTCTCTCTCTCTTCCCTGAAAAGCCCTCTGGTAACACATTGGTTGACTGCACAGGGGCATAAGTCACCACTTTGATGTGTGACCTAGGTCTTCCCTGAAAAGTGCCAAGGTGGGTAATGTTTTAGATACTGACTGTCCTCTCAGAGGCCCCATCCTCAGCCATAACACACTGTTGGGAAGCTAAGGATATGGGAGAGTGCCTTTGGTAAGGCTATTGACACCCTGGCCTCTTCCTGCCCTCCTCTTTGTGCCTGCTGTCTGCCATGAGATAAGCAGCTTCCTCCACCCAGCATGCCCACCGGGACAGGCTGCCACAGAGCAATGGCTGACTGCAGACAGAAACCACAACAGCTGAGAGCCAAGAGAAGCTTCTGTTTTCATTGACTGCCTCGGGCACTTTGCTACAATGACAGAAAGCTGGTTCCCTGCGGGCCTGACAGGTGACGGTGCCAGCAGTGAAGACCTGCTTCCTCCACCAATGGCCAGTTAGCAAACAGACTATACGTACATTTCACTTACCTGCCTGGAGACTTCTGGGATCTGCTCTTCATAATTCCTGCCTTGAGCACCTGCTCCTCATCTTACACAGCAACACCCGGGTTCCAGAAGTCTCCCCTGCCCACCTTCCCTCTGGTGGCAAGGATTTGGATCTAACAATGCCCATGAGGGTCCTTCCTTGGGTTCTGGGCTCATACCAGAGCCACTACAGTGTGCGACTTCCCTATCCTGGACTGATGATTTGCCCATAACTTACTTAGCAAGCTTGCGATAGCCTCCAGCGTCCCCCAGTACCATGCTGGGCTGCAAAGAAACCTCCTGTTGGCTGAAATTGAGACGGTTCAGTGAATAAAGGGGTTTGCAGCCCAGCCTCATAATTCAAGTTCTAGCTCTGTAACCCCATGGTAAAAGCAGAAAACCAACACTCCTGTACATTGTCCTCTGACCTCCATATTCACGCCACATCCATGTCCATACACACACACTCACATATACGTATGTTTAAGAAATTGTATTAGAAAGATCTAAGGTTGATTTCAGTGCTTGGGAGTACTCTGAGGTTAAGAACAATTGCCATGCAAGCAGAAGAATGTGAGTTCAAATACTCAGACTCCCCAGAGAAAGCCAGGTGTGGTTGTGCATGAGCCTGTCCCCCCAGTATTGTGAGGGAGCAGTCTATTGCTGGAAACCAGTCTAGCTCTAACTTCAGTAAAAGGACCCCCATATGGAGGAGTAAGACAAAAAGTGATAGAACAGGACGTGTGATATCCTTCTCTGGCCATCATATGCTCGCATATGCACATGCATGCTCAGACACTGCGCGCACACACACACACACACACACACACACACACACACACCAAAACTTCCTTAAAATATGATTTCAGCATTTCTTTTGAGGACCGTAAAGGTCAGTCTGATGCTGGAGTGAAAAACCCAACTCCAACTGAGATTTTCCCCTTGTTTATTCACAGCACTGCTCCCATCGGATCCCAGGGGGTGTGGGGCTTTTACCCATCTGTGAGAGACAGTCATTGTGCTCTGGACAACAGCTGGATGTCCCCTGGTACAATCAGCTTTGACAGTGTGAATTTAGGGAATGCGTCGAATGCCACGGGTTGAGGGCGCCATTCCCAAGCCCTCGCTTCACACAACCAGCCTTATTATCCCGGCCTCTATAATAAACAAGAGCTTTCTAAAATAAGCATCTTGTCACCCAGCTATCCCACAGGGTAGAGCAGTGTGCTGGCTGCTTTTATGTTAACTTGACACACGCTAGTCATGACACAGGAGTCATCAGAGAGGGCGGAGCTATGGCTCAGAAAATGTCTCAATAAGATTGGGCTGTGCACAGGGCATTTTCTTAATTAGTGATCAATGGGGGAGGGCTCAGCCCATCACGGGTGAGGTCATCCCTGGGCTGGTGGTCCTGGGTTCTATAAGA